ACATTTAGGGATGCTCTCTCTCAGGAGGCCAATTATTGGAATTTCCTATGATTGAGCTTAGAAGGCATTTTCTTAGCACTAGCGTTTGAAGGGGACAAAACAAAATGCCATAACCTGAGCAGACCTTGACTGATCTTAATCAAACTCAGCACACTTATCCTTCATTAAAAGGTTTTTCAGCAATTATTATTTGTTGCCATGGAAACCAACTATGAAGGGCGCTACAGTCGAACGAAATATATATACATGTTTATTTTGAAAATTTTCCGAAAAGTTGCTCATCATTAACCTTACAGCTTACATTTCGTCTTGAAAGCCACCAAATCATCAAACAGAAGTTAAGTTATGATTGCCCAACTTCTGATGAGCTAATTTGAGAGTGAGGTTGTGGCAAATTGAAAATTATATACATTTTTAATAAGTTAAACAACGTCCTGTTGAATCTAGGTTCTGGTATTCTTAGCCTTTGGGTTGGTAGGTGTCAGTTCAATCTTCCAGATACATGCATACCTTTTCCAATTTTGGTTAAGCTTGACAATGTATATGTTCATATATTTATCTTCCTAAAAATGCATTGAATCGTCATGAAAACCGTCTACAGAGCCTGACTCTATACCCAGATATACATAAAAATGTTTATACATTTTTCAATAAGTAGAGATTTTGTACGTTTTTAGTCTAAGTAACAGTTAAATAAAAGGAAAAATCAAAAATATGAACATAAAGTTGATCCATTCTAGCCTGTTGGATCCATACTTGTAAACACAAATGAGGTAAAATATTAAAATTACTTAATTTATGGAAGATTTTGTCATCGCAAACTATGCTTATGTCGCTAATCTAAGCATAGATGGGAATATTCTTAGCTCAGCGATGGACGTACGGGAGGAACAATAGTCAACAGAAACACATGCAACTATCAAATAATTATTGTCCCACTGAAGTTGAGCATCTGTTTACATTTTCCACTGCTTCGGATTGAAACTACCCCAAAAGTTGATTTTGAGTTGACCCCAAGAGAAGGTTTTGTATCAGCATAGTTCACCTGTTTGTGGTTCATTTTGTATTTAAACCCTGAAAGAATCAGTTTAAGATTAAACAAAGAGATGAGACTTATTTTTTTTAGTTTGTGAGGGTCTTACAAGAACCAGGGGAAACTCCAGGGTTTGGGACATATGACAGTACACTTTGCTCTTCGTCAGGAGCAAGAGGGATTCCAACACCCAAAGGGTGTAGGAGGACTGGGGCAGGACATGCTACATGCACATGTAGCTGATCATTGGAGTATCAAGGAAGTTGTGAATAAGGGTTGTCAGTGGTATAGGGGACCCAGTGGCGTAGCCAGGAATTTTCAGTGGGGGGGGGGGGGGGGGGGGGGCTGGAACATTTCATGGTGGGCGACATGTAAATCAATGATAATTTTTTTAGAAACTCAAAATCTCAGTGGGGGGGGGGGCGACTGGGGGCGATCTTTTAAATGAGGTTTGCCCTTCACCGACGTATAAACACTGTATACTCAGTGTGTTACCTCCGGAGTGAAAGTTGGAAAAAATAACTCCGGTGGGACTCGAACTCATGACCTCCTGCTTTCTAGTGCAGATGTCTTACCACTCGACCACCGAGCTAACGGGATCGGTTGGCTGGTTTGAATCAGGCGTACATAGCAGCGGGTACCGTATTAACTATTTAGCATATGGAATTTTTGCGTCGGGATGATGTAACTCAAATTAGGTTTGCCCTTCACCGACGTATAAACACTGTATACTCACTGGGGGTGACCTTTCGCATGTGACCCTAATTAATGGGCCTTTTAGGTATAGGAGAACCTTGGTCGGGGAAGTAGAGGAAAAGAAGATTCTCTTACCCATGCTGCTAGATGATGAAGGTGCTATCACTTGACGATGAAGGAGCCAAACATGTGGTCTGTGCTCTGCCGTGATGATGTTGGTCTGCTCATTTTTTTTCCATGAATATATTGGCCAGAATTGATGACAGGTCAGTTGGCGCTGAGTATGTTGTCAAAGAAAGAAATGACTCCCAAGCAGACTACTCTGACAGCGTTTGACTGGAGGGTGAGGTCTGAGGGTAAGATGGCAAACTCTCAGAACTCTTAATACACACCTTGAAGTTATTATAAAGTCTGCATTTGACAAAGTGGTGCTGTCCTTGTCAGTTTAGAGGATGTGATTGGACTTGTCTTGACAAAGGGAGGTGATGGCTGCACGATCTTGTCTGTAGATTTTGGAATTGGCTGGCTTGTGTTTCCGGAGGGCTCGATGGATCTGCATGTGGACCTCGCCGGTGATGAACTTGTAAAGATGACAGAAGCTGAGCTAGCGCAATGGATGATCTCTTTGACTGCGATGATTTGAAGACTGGGGCGAAGTTAACCTAAGCCCACGACCGTGATCTCTTTAGGAGACAAGAATCTGTGACTTTGCTGTCTTAGGGAGTGGACATGGGCTGGAGTGCCCCCCCCCCCCCCCCGCAGTGACCAAAAAGTTCACAAATAAGGCAATTTGTCACTTGTGAGAGCCCTTCAGCCCCCCCCCCCCCCGGCAGCCTCACCCCCCCCCCCAGCAAAAACCACTCTGGATCCGCCCTTGTTGATATTTACATGTGTAATGTTGACTAATGTACCGTTACCTCCCATATGTCCATCGCTGAGCTAAGAATATTCACATCTATGCTTAGATTAGCGACATAAGCATAGTTTTGTGATGACAAAATCTTCCATAAATTAAGTAATTTTCAATATTTTACCCCATTTGTGTTTACAAGTATGGATCCAACAGGCTAGAATGGATCACATCCATGTTGCTATTTTTGATTTTCTTTTTATTTAACTGCCACTAAGACTAAAAACTCACAACATCTCTACTTATTGAAAAATGTATATATATTATTACATTTATCTGGGTATAGGGTCAGGCTCTGTAGACGGTTTCTATGACAATTGAAAGCATTTTAGAAAGATAAATATATGAATAAATACCATGTCGAACTTATGCAAGTTTGGTAAAGGTATGGTCATGTATCTGGAAGATTGGCCTGACACCTACTAACCCAAAGGCTAAGAATACCAGAACCTTGATTCAGCAGGACGTTGTTTAATCTACTAAAAATGTATATAATTTTCAATTTACTAAGACCTACCAGCTCAACAGAAGTTGGATAATCATAACTTAACTTCTGTTTTATGATTTGGTGGCTTTCAAGACGAAAAGTAAGCTGTAATGTTAATGATAAGCAACTTTTCAGAAACTTTTCAAAATAAACATGTATATATATTTCGTTTGATCGTAGCGCCCTGTATAGTTAGTTTCCATGGCAACCAAAGATATATTTTTTGAAAGAGCTGTCATGAAAAATAAAAGTGCTGAGTTTGATTAAGATTGGTCAAGGTCTGTTCTGGTTATGGCATTTTGTTTCGTCCCCTTCCAACCCTAGTGCTAAGAAAATGCCTTCTAAGCTCAATCATAGGATATTCCAATAATTGGCCTCCTGAGAGAGAGAATCCCTAAATTTTCACTGTAAACATCTTTTTTCCTATTGGGGACATGCCAAGGATCAAAAAAATATCGGTGGCGGTCGTTTTTTTTTTTTTGGGGGGGGTGCACTGGGACCCCCATGGCCCACGGACTACAATTGTGTAAATCTGTTCAACATCAATAGGTAGGATATGGGTTTACAAAGGTCATGACCTCTCGTAAGGTCACAAGAGGTCGAATATGAAAAGGCCTATACATTCTTTTTATAGCATGAACACCTTTCATATGTTCATGTTAGAAAAAAAAGACTTTTTATCCCTTGAACCATTTGGGTGCAATCAATCATGTTGTAATATTGATACTTAATTCGGTATTTTGAATTCAATCCAAGTTTGACCTCCCTTTTATCCTGGAAGTAAAGATCAAGCGACTTTACGTCATGTTCCATAACATCACCAAGTATAAACATTGATTCTTCGTTTCATTCCTGAGTTCCGATTGCAACAAAACGGTCAGCTTTTAAACCGAAATCGCTTGTAATTTGATACCTTATGACGTCATTATTACGTTACACTTGTAATCACACTTCTGCATCTGCATTGATGTTCATACAAATTTTGAAGTTCGTAAAGAAAAAAACACACGAACACATAAACAAGAACAGACACAAGAAAGAAAACGAAGACAAAACCAAAGGATGATATTAGTCAATTAGTTTAGACCATGTAAAAACTGCAATTGTTGTTCCCGATCACCCAATAGGCTACATTTATAATTCTGTCATGGGAAAATGCTGTCATGGGGAAAATAGACTGGGATTCCAGGTGTGGCGTGAATTTAGGACTCTATGAAATTCGGACTTGATGGCAGCATAGCGCAAGCATACTAAGTGTGATAATTAGAGGAGTTACCGGTCACGTGAGAGGGGTTAACCAATAAAGTGGTAAAAGGAGTCCGCATTTCATATGAATCAGATTTGCATATGACGCCGGCCCCACGTACGTTGCAGCTGCAACGTGATGAGTCAGGGAATTCCCCTTGTAGTTTAGCTGGTACCCAGCGCCGTTGTAGCGCAACACGGTCACCGCTATTGTATTATTCACAACATTGTGATGGAAAATGCAGCTTTCGCAATGCGTTGTTTGTAATTTTGAGCAATGGCTACGTGCATTTCATGCGAACCGGTTGTGCGCTCAAGCGGCAGTTCAGTCAGTACTGACTGCGGTTCGTGGGTACCAAAAACCAACCAATCAGAGCTGCAAGACAAGGGAACTCATTTCCATATTCAGTTGTGTAATTTTTTATTTTGGGGTATGACTAATCAGCCTATAATATTCCCAACATTTAGGCCCACCGACATTCAGTCTGACTCTACTGTTGGTCGAGGTTGGGCCCATTGGCGCGCCTACTCTCACACTAGAGAAACATTTGGATTTAGGGTTTTAGATTTAAGAGGGAGTTTTATCGCTGAACTTCATAAGAACATCACCATACAGAGCAGAAACTGTCATGTTCGTAGGGGTGCGAGTTGTGCGAGGTCCTGACTGGAAATGGGGCGATCAGGACGGGGGGAAGGGCTGCGTAGGTACCGTGGTCCCTGCACAAGCTAAGGACAGCGGTAAGTAATCTGCAGAAGTCATACAAGCCCTATACAAATTGTCCATACGGAGCGAAACCGTCACGTTCATAGGGGTGCGAGTTGTATGAGGTCCTGACTGGAAATGGGGCGATCAGGACGGGGGGAAAGGCTGCGTAGGTACCGTGGTCCCTGCACAAGCTAAGGATAGCGGTAAGTTATTATAAGTACGTTACACAAATTGCCCCTAGAATGGTGACCTATGAGGGGTCCTATCAGGGCTGTATGAAGCTCAAAACCATCGGCCAGCCTCATCTCAGAGGCAGGGAGCCTGATCGGAAGTAAATGACTGTGCGAAGCGAGTTTCCCTAAACGGCGTAAGGTTCGGGGCCCGCTTGTTTAGGGTCCCGACAAAATTGGATTTTAGACGCTCTGCCTAGTGCGATCTGAGGCAATTTTGGACGCCATTTTCGAGTTTGGTGTACTTTTTGCATTTTGTGTGTGTGTGAGGATTTGAGCAACGAACAGGAGCGAAGCAAGGTCATGTATATGAGGGGGGGGGTTAACCACTTCTTGAAAATGGCACTTGCACATCCGTGCTGAAATGTAGACACGTATTTTTCTCCTGACGCTTGATGACCTCCGTTAAATAATATTGGAGGAGGGGAGGTCATTTGGGGATAGTACAGCTTAACATCTTTAACATTCTGGGGGGGGGGGGTTATTGAACAAAATGCCAAAGTATGGACGGGTCATTTCAAATGCTGCTTTTTGTAATCTCGAATAAACTTAATATTAAGGGATGACACAACAAAATGAATACATATTCCAACAATGAGGAGTGCAGTGATGCTTCGAACAATACATGTATAAAGCCCCCTCAAGTTAAAAAGCTTTACTGTCAAGTTAATACTGGACTTGAGAGTATATGTACTTGTACCTATGATCTTGTTTTTATAATTAGTGAAGGGTGTCTGGGTGCGGTGGGACTCCGGGCAAGCTGCAAACTACCGCGCTGGTGGAGCAAGCGGCAAGTACGATCTGCGGATTTACGATAACGCCCAACTAGGTAAGCGCAGATTCTGTTTTTGAAAAACCCATGTGGTAACCTTCATTGCAATATTGGAATCCCCTAATTGCTTTCAATGCGACGTGGTCTGTATTTTCATTTCTTTGAATCGCCTATTCAATTAGAAGTTAGAAGCTTTTTAAGTGTATTTATGCTACGGTTTATTTATTCCACGCCTCGTTATACCTACCCCCCCCCCCCCCGACTGAAATAACTGAAGAAAATCTCGGATCTTCCACTAATATTTTGAAATGACCGAAATGCAACTTTTTGTAAGTTTTTTTTTTAATGTTGAAACGGTTTTTATTTTTGCAATGCAGCAATGAGAATCTCCATAATGCTCGGAAAAAAATAAACACAGTGATGTCGAAGAGGCAGAAGTTGCATTTCCGCTGCTTTTTGAGCACGAAAAAAGTTGTTAGAATTGGTGTCAATTCTGTTGTCAATTTTGCTTTTGTGTGTTTTTAGAACGCAACCAGCCAGTCAGTAAGTGAGCTAAGTTTTAAGTTATTGGTTCATATATTGTAAAGAAAATCTCTAAGCTGCAACTAGATCACTTAATTGTTATCACAGTAATAGCATCATCATTGTAAAAGGACAAGCGGCCTTAAAGGCTGTATTATATTTTAATTACTAGCATGGTGATGTTAACTCATTACCCTCTCCACACTCCCAAATTCCAGTATCAGTGAATTTGAATCTAGCTGGCGGGGCGAGGGGGGGGGGGTGTCAAGATTTTACCAGTGTTTTAGTCGAGTACTTTTATACAAGTACCAGGTACTGCCGAGTACTTAGAGTACGAGTACTTGTACTTCCGAGTACGAGTACGAGTACGAGTACTTGTATTCCAAGTAGGCGTAAAAGTACGAGTACAAGTACTTTTGTTTCCGAATATGACCGTTCGACAAAGTGACTCAGTACGTTAGACCATTATACAGGCCCACTCAGGGCTAGCTGTTAAATGTGTTTTTCGGATATGTAAAGAGGAAAATTAGAAAACTTCGATTTCTCTGATTTGCAAGCCATGCAACCATTTCAAACTGAAAGTATTGCAGCCACACTGGTAAGTCAAACTATACCATTTTCTTTTGAGTACTGCCGAGTACGAGTTACTTTGCTGCCCGAGTACGAGTACACTAATTTCGAGAACGGTTACTTTGACAATCGAGTACGAGTACTACAACACTTGATTTTACCTAACAACCGTTCCTGTTAGTGAAGTAAGTACGTACACAGTGTCGTAAGCCATATTTTATATGTACGTATAAACATACGATCAAATGTGACAGTTCATGTAGTTTATTTGGTTCCAAGTACAAAATTGCAAATCAAGTTTTAATTTTCCCTCCTTAGACTTGAGCACATTTTATACCATTTTTATTCAGAATAAAATCGTTTAATCTTGATATGTTTACTGCGCAGTTGGAATACCGATGAAACTCGTTCAAAAACATGTACTCAAGCTCAGATTTGTAGATGTGAGAAAATTTTGAAAAGGATCCAGAATATATATATATACATTGTATATATCCAATGAAATCGTCTTCTTTCACAATTCACAGTGCTCGATACATCTCTGAAGAGCAATAATCATGCAATAAATTCAAGATGTGAGCTTATCAAACTTTGGCATATTTCTCTTCTGAACAGCCTGTTTCATGCCATAAGGCACTCATCAGCAGAATGACAAAATATAGAATAGTAGCATCTTACCTTATTTCGAAACAAGTGTGCGCACGCGTTACGCGCGTTACGTCATTGAAGTTAGTACGCGTTTACGCCACTGAAGTAAGAACCCAAGTGTGTCGATGCATGCACTTGGAGACGATTTCGCCTCTCTTATTTAGTGTACCTAGATCTGATCTACATACGATTATGTAATTCTCTGTTATACACAACTTGCATCTCTTGTTTACGTTATGCATGTATATTGTTTAATTGTAGCTTGGGCTAATGTTTTAATACTTTTAGGGGGTAACCATCGCCTACTATAATAAAGTTCATAAGCTAGAAATAATTTGAACTGCAGAGTTGAAGCCTTAAATTCCCAGCGGAAGCCAGTAGCACACAAAAATACATGTACTTTAAATATGTATAAATGGGTGCCAAAAATAACCTGTTTCATAATTTTACACAACACGCATCATAGGGTTTTTTCATTAAGACCAACGCAGTGGGAATCCCCGGGGAATTTTCACGTTTTCAGGCTATTGTTGTTATTTCTTTTCATAATGAACAATGCGCCGAACCGTGTACATGTCCATATCAATGCGCAATGAACCGTACTCGCCTGTTGACCTGGGAAACCCCTGCTGAGCACCTGTTTTTGGTGACATATGAAATATGGACTTCTAGGAAATGTGATCTCTTTTACCTTTTTTATAAGATAGAATTTTGCGTCCGGGTGATGTAAATCAAATTAGGTTTGTCTCTTCACCAATACATAAACATTGAATAGACAGTGTGTTACCCCGAGAGTGAAAATTGGAAAAAAATCATTAGGGTTGGACTCGAATCCATGACCTCCTGCTTTCTAATACAGACGTCTTACCACTCGACCACCGATCTAACGGGATCGGTTGGCTGGTTGACATTTCGCTCAATTATGCTCAGGTTTCTTTTATCTTATTCTCACACGTGCCTTTTACTGTCCCGTTTTCTGTACTTAAGCATGCGCAATGTAACCAATGAGTCCGTATTTCATAGAGTCCAAATTTCTCGCCACAACGGCACTCACTCGATAAAATCTTGTTTATCAATTGAAGACTATAACATGCACCAAAACGATGCATATTAGTGAGAACTCAATGTCGAGTGCAGACATTAGCATTTTTTTCCATGGCATGTGGCATTTAGCATGTCAGGCACGGTTTCATACTAAAAAAAGGAGATATTGTGGAGTATCTTTGGAGAAACAAAAAACATTTTGCTCAACTACCGTATGTAATTACCAGGAAACTTTGCTGGCGCCCTAGGGACATCGAACCCCCCCCCCATTTTTTTTTTGGGGGGGGGGTGGGTGGGGTTGGCCTCTCTGACTTATTTTTCAAAGACAGTTTAAGGGACGGGGGTAATTTTCAGGCAGTTTAGTATATTGTGCCACCTTTCCTATAAATTATCATGACATCATCGATGCTTTCTAAGTTGCAATGAGTAAAATTCGGGAGTATAGATTTACATTAAAAATCCCTATAAATTTGGATTAAAACATTGTGGAAAAAAAGGTTCCAACTGAAACTCGATTTTTTTTTTCAATTTAATGAATTTGACTGAAAATTGTCTTGTACCTTTAGTCAAAGGGAGTGAATTTTCACTCTTTAAAAATAGTCAAATGACTGTTAAACATAATTGATTCAATCTTGGAATAGGAGTGCAACATCCGACTGTCATCTGTGACTGCTGCCAAGAGGAAGGTATCGTAGGAATACGCTGGAAATGTCTGGAGTGCCGTGACTTCGATTTGTGTCACAGCTGCTACAACGAGGGAAAGCATGACCTGGGTCATTGCTTCACGAGGATCGAAACCAACTCAGTTCCAGGGTGAGTTTTAGAAAGGTGTTGTAGGAATGCAATGGAAATATCTGGAGTGTCATGCCTTTGACTTGTGTCACAGCTGCTATAACGAGGGAAAGCATGACCTGGGTCATCGCTTCACTAGGATCCCCAACTTAGTTCCGGGGAAAGCTATTGACCATTGAATAATTAACACCTTTTTCGATGTTCACATTGCATCATGGGATTGGATGACAAACAAGCAATGCAGTTTATGCACAAAAGTATTGGGACAGTGAACCAGTCAAACATGAAATTATTTTTGGTTACCTTTTTTTCCACAATTAACCAAGCCTCACCTATTAATGAATAGAATGTGGAGTAAAAATTAGATTTTAAACTTTGAAAATTAAAAGAGAAATAATCTTGATTTCTTTCAAAGTACCAGTCATCAGTGTCAGAGGAGCATTTCTGATTATAATCATTGTTAACATTATTAATAATTATTTCTGGTAATGAAACCAAGGACTCCTCAAAAGTGCCTATAGGCACTGTAGCTCGCAAGCCTGAGGAAACCTGTGGAGAGAAGACAATGAGAAGAAGTTACAGTTTAAGGGGTGGGAGAAAAAAAGCAGAAGAATATTTTGGGGAAAACCCACGGAATCAGGTAGGGACTGAAAAATCCAATCCACATATTGGCCCAGACGGGATTCGAGCCCGGGTCCCAGCGGTGGAAGGCGAGGAAAGTACCGCTACGCCAACCTGACCCATGAGTTATCAATTCTGGAGGTGTGAGCTTGAAAAGGCTTGATTCTGATTTGTCACTGTTGGATAGGTTATTTTGCATATTCATGATAATGAAACTGGTATCGAAAGAGGGATTTCCAAAACGGTCCTCTTAATTACTTAATTATTGACATATAATGAGGAGGAATCAAATGGCAGTTGTAGCTTGTACTCGGCGGCAAAGGTTTTTGCACAAACATAATATGGTTTGTTTGTCTTCCATATATACCCAAAATGCATGGTCAGTATGAAAAAAGTTTGTTGATCAATGCCTGGTAATGAGGTGTTTAATACGACAAACATCAAATTCAAGCTGCTTATTTACCCTTTTTTTCTTTCTGTTCCTTTGGATAGGGAGAACTGGGATTCGCGGTTATTTTGCCATTAAATATGATCACCGCTAAACGTAATCCTGAGGCCCTAGGCCAGCTTGTCCACGTTTGCCGTCACCAAATGTTTACTGAATACAGAGTACATGATCCTTTAAACTGTTGAAGTAACAAACACGACTTTGACTTTTAATTCAACAAGTTGGTGTTTACAATCGATGTATTTCGAAAATATTACAATTCACCCAATTACAACGACGCTGTTTCTATTACAAAGTTATGTTTTCCAACAACGAATTCAAACACATAGACCGTTTTGTCGGTATTTTTCACAATGCAGTAGTGGTGTTGGTGTAAGTAAGATTTGGTGTTGGTGTACGTGTACTAGTAAAATGACGCATAGATGTATAGGAATGGCAATTTAATTCTGAGAACGCACCTATATGCAATACATTATTATATCTGTGTACCTGTGTCTGCATAAATAAGGAATGCATTCGTGCTAGGTGATTTTTCTTTTGTACAGGCTACATAAAAAAGCTAGTCCATTGAAATCATCCATAGATGTCATGCAACCATGGGACCGTCCAGTCTAAACCTAGCAACCGAACGTGTCATATGGTGTTCGCTCATGCGCATCTCGAGGTCAAAATATTGTTTGGGGAATTGCGTTCATATGTCCTACTCTGAAGCAGTGTACAGTGTCGCATGCACAATGTACTGTCCATCAAGATGGCGTCCTTTTAAGCACTTTTTTTTTCGTTTCAGGATTGAAGTCCCCTGTCGATTTGGCGCCACCAAATGCCGCTCTTTGGGCATTTTCCCAGGTGCCCGAGTGATGCGAGGGCCCGATTGGGAATGGGAAGATCAAGATGGTATTGGAAAATCAAATGTTTAATTTTTATATGGAAAGGATGACAGCAAAATACGGAGGATGTTTGTCAAATATTAGGTGTAGTTTATTGTTGCTCGTATTAAATTCAAAATATGTACATGTTTTTAAAATCAATGCATTTCATAATCTGTCTAAACTACACCAGCATTCATAATAAGTAGTGTGGCATAGGGACAGAATTGTTCAATTTGTGATAAAAGCATGAAACCTGGCATGTGAGGTCTTCATGCCATGACAAAAAAATCAGATATGGAGACGTTTCATATCTAACCCGAGGTGACCTTTGAGGGGTCAACGACCTTACCTTTGAAAACTCTATTTATACATATTGTTTTTGAAAGCATCACTTTCCTATGACCTAAGTCTAGGTATAGTCCTCAAGCAATGTAAATAACGACCAAATACGGCAAAATTTAACAATTGACATCTGATGACCCTCCAGAGGTCAATGACCTTTGTAATAACTGCACTTACTCTGTTTATAGTTATTTACACAATTTACCCTTTAAACCCTGACTTTTACATGACCCCATTAATTAGTCATACTGTTAAGTGGCTCATGCTATGAAAAGAATTTCATATGTGGGGAATATCATAGCTGACCTCTGATGGTACTACTATTTTTACTACCGATATCTAAATGTTGGTAATCTTGCCATAATATGATTTTTTTTTCATATGGAGACATTTCATATTTGACCTCTGATGACCTTTACGAGGTCAATGAACTTTGTATACTCTGATTGCCGTTATTTATCATGTTTAATCTTCCAAATGACACTTTTTCATGACCGCGGTCTATTTTGACTATTATTCCACAGCACGTCATGGAGCCCGACCCCAAAGATTTTCATGACCTATAATTTCAATTTTCCTTTTTATAAGGGCAGATGCAGGCGCAATAGAATTATAAGAGGCACAGCGGACAAGCATCACTTGACCATTGGGCTTGGTAAAAAGGTTAAAAACGTGGTTATCAAAGTCTGTATAGTTACAGGGTGTATAATATGTAAACGAGGGTGATTATTGCTTGACATTATGGACATTACAAAACACCCACAGATTTCTATTCCAATCTCATCATATTGCATAGGCCAATAAATCAAGGAGAAAAGAGGTCGGAGGTCACCTCAAAATTGTTGTGAGGTCTACATTCATAACACGGCTGGTGCAATACCGTTCTTTGGCACTATTATCAGCATGGGTCACGAAAAGCTTTTTAACGAATAAATATGATAAATAACGGTAACTAAGATATATACAAGTGACCTCTCCAAGGGTGTAACTACGTCGCATATGATGTGCCCAGATCTGAAATTCTTTTAATGGCAAAAGAGTTAACTTTTAGACTTGGGTCATGAAAAAAGGGGCATTTACATTTGTGTTCATCTTATTAACAACAATAGGTAGGAGACGGTTTTGCAAAGGTCATGACCTCTTGTAAGGTAACCAGATGTTGAATCCAAAATGGGCTAATTTTCTTTATAGCACGAACACCTTCATTAGCCATGAATCGTGGGAAAAAAATCTCACAAATAGCTATTATAAAGTTTACAAAGGTCATTGACCTCTCAAAGCTCACCACAGGTCTGATATGAATTGTCCCCACATTTCTGATCATTTTTTTCATTGTATGAAGATATATTACATAGACTTAGGTCATAGAAAGGTGAAGTATTAAAGAACAAAAAATTGTGAATAGAGTATGAACACTTCTTGATGTAGACCTAGACTAGGTATGTCAAATAAAATAGTTCATTGTCCCATCACTTTGCGATTGTAACACACACAAACACAAACCTTAGCTTATTTATTTATTTGCAACATTTCTAGAAAATTTACAAGATTAGTTAGATTGCATACAAAGATAAACCAATAAATAAAAATCGTAGTTTACATATAAACGGGTTAAATGACGATTATAGGCATTAAAACATAAAACGAGAATAGTCATATAAAGAGAATTTACATCATTTGCTTTTGCTGCAATTTTCAGAAACAAATGGATTTGGAGGATTAGTATATGTTATTAAACTGACTTGTCTCACGTTTCGGGCTTGTAGATGCTGGAAAAACCAAGAAAACATATCATGTTCTTGTGGTCTTGTTCCCTGACCCTACTTAAGATGAAACGGAGCAATTAATACACTTTCAGGGATTGTGAAGTCAGAGAATCAGTCTAGCAGGCTTGTACCCTGTGTGATCAATTGCAAAGAAAAGTCAGAATAACTAAATATGAAAAATTAGAAACAAATTTTGAAAAAAGCCAGTTTTCTCCGACGCTGGTCGGCCGACCAGCGTTGGAAAAATTCAGTTTTTCTCGAAAATGTCAGCTCACCTGGAGCCACGATTTTAAAGGATGCTTTAGACTGTCAGTCCCTTACAATCCAGAAAGGTATTTCGTGATAATTTGACCATTTCGTTTTATGATGTTTGCAAATGTTGTATCATCCCTTTAAAAAATGGACGAATGAATACACATGCATTTAATTACACAATATTAAGTAAAATGATAATTGGAGATTGTAGGAGATATTTCAAACACGGAATAAGGATGTTTGTATTAGCCTTGACCAAGGCTATCTGCTTGTTCCCATACGAGCTTGTTCCCGCTACCGCACACCGCGCGCGCCGTGACTCAATCACTAGTTGTACTATACCGTTAGCCCCGACGACCCTTACGTGTGCTTTGTGTGCATGTACGTACGCCCCACACACACTTCCGCAAACAGCCGTACAGTAAGTCGAGGTGGAAGATAGCCTTGACGCAACCGTGTATCAGTTCGTTTGGCATATAGTATGCATCTCTAATTTGCAGGCTCCTAAGTGCCACTTCTGTATATGTAAACTACTGCACAATCGCCTATGGTGGGGCTATCACTTCAAAGTGTCCGTACGGTTAGGAAGAAGGTGATTCAGTTTGTAACCAGGGGCTAATTTCAAAGATCTGCTTCAGCACAATATAAGCACAATAAAACTCTGCTTAATATAATCAGTTGACCGGCCAAACTCCATGCGATTATTTGTTATGCTACGTAACCAACAGTTAACTACAAAGTCACTAGCGATGAACCTCGCATGTAGTTATGGCGGGTAACCTGATTATATTTAGCAAGGCTTTTTTTGTGCTTAAAAAAATAGTGCTTAATTATAAGCAGGTTTGTGAAATTGGCCCCAGGGGTCTGAATCTGAACCAAACACTGTAAGGCACATTTGTTTCCTTCACGATCTGATGTCTCTAATTTAAGGCATTGAAGGGCAATATCATAGTTTTATACACCTGACTCAATAATCCTCAAATCCCTTTTCTTCTTCTTCTTCTTTTTTATATCGATTCCAACATGGTGAAAAACCTAATCCTAAACCCAACCCATCACAACATAGGTCTTACTTTATAACACTTACCCGAACCTTAACTCTAGCCCTCCATTAAGCAGCTATAGATTGTTCCTGATCGTTAATTAGTGATGGTAATTTTTTTTAATACAGGTGGGGAAGGCAAAGTTGGTACCGTTAGTGAAGTGAGTGGTGGGGAGGGAACCCATCGTTCCTGGGTCGCCGTTAAATGGCCCGGCCGCTCCACCAACAAGTACCGGCGGGGTCACGAAGGCAAGCTGGATCTGCAATACACAGACAAAGAGACAATGGGAGAATTCTACATTGAGCACCTCCCGAGGCTCGGTAAATGATACTCGGTCCTTATCAAATAGTCTTCCGCAAGTTCTTTTCCCAAATAAGAAAAAAATCTCCAAAATTATCTTCAAAGTACATTCATAACCCTATCTCCAGAATGCTTTGGCCATACGCATACAATATTGGGATACGTCCCAATGTTCAGTCCATCAGTGTTCATTGTTATACGGTGGCTCATGGTTGCCATTGCAACCTCTTGAAAACGGTGATCGTTAATTTTATCTGTTTATAGAAAATATGTCTGGCATTGTCAATAATATGTTGGTGTTAGTGTTCTCAAAAATTCTTTTCCTGAAACAAGCACTGTGCACTTTAGACTTAAGATCACAGTCACGTGATCACTTACGATTCACCATGTGACTCCAATGTGGCTGCTTCCAATACGAAAGCCATTTAAAAAGTATTTCAGCACGGTTTTAATTATTCCGAATGAATGGCAAATCAACCGGTATTTCTCGGAAGGTAGCACACGGAGTATACAGTCTTTATACGTCGGGAAAGGGCAAAACCTAATATTGATCAGCAAATTTTTAATTGGACCAAAATCGGTTGAATAAAAAAAACAATGAAGTTTGGGACTTTTCATAAAATGGAATTTCACGTCGGGGAGATGTAAATCAAATTAATTTATTTGCCCCTCACCGACGTTTAAACACTGTATACTCAGTGTGTTACCTCCCGAGTGATAGATGGGAAAAAAATCACTCGGGTGGGACTCGATCCCACTACCTCCTGCTTTGTAGTGCAGATGTCTTACCACTCGATTCGAACATCTGATTCGAACAAGCCAACCAATCCCGTTAGCTCGCTGGTCGAGTGGTAAGTCATCTGCACTAGAAAGCAGGAGGTCGTGGGTTCGAGTCCCACCCGAGTGATTTTTTTCAACTTTCGCTTGGGAGGTAACACACTGAGTATACAGTGTTTAAACGTCGGTGAATGGCAAAAAAATCTGATTTACATCACTCCGACGCAAAATTCCGTCTTATGAATTGAAGTTTGGGACAGAATTATCCCAAATCCATACTCTTTATGCAAACAAATGATGATTTGAACAACTCAATATTATTTGTTCCAAATCTAAAGATTTTGATAAACAATGCAGAAAACTGTTTTGGCAAAAAGAGGAGGGGGATGGTTAAAAGACCTGTCAGCTACGTAGCCTCTAAAAAGTCATATAAATATTTATTTCATTTGAGGAAACCTGTACGAAGAAAATAATGTTCAAATTAAGATGGGGTATAATATGGCCCTCGGTCATGAGCAGAGACACAATGCCCCAGTCCTCCATATGCGGATAAAATTGCAATTCCGTGGTATTGTGTCCTACATTTGCGGTAGTCTCTCTTAAAACGTTTCCGTTATGTTCCTGACCGACTTATAACTTGTAAATCGAGTCAATATTATAACGATTTCTCTGGTTTTGCGTCTTAAACTATGAACGTTAATAACCACAAAACGACCACCACACGCCTGAAGCTCTGATTTTCGATCCTTTGCAGATGGGACTAGAGTCCAGCCTTACTTGGACTCCGGAGACAAGGTCCGTCTGCTGGACATGGACCCTTTGAAGCTCAAGGAACTGCAGCTGGAGAGGTGTGGCTGGAACGAAGAAATCACAGACGTAAGACAGATACCAGGGCTCAATTCCATGGCTCTGTTAGGCCAATAACCTATAATTATGCGTATACATTGTATATTCACCATCCTTGAAGCGCTGGCAAAGATTTAGATTCTTAGTTTACAGGATGTACGTCCGCGCGCAACCCAACATCCTTACTACTCAGTGAAATACGCGTTTACACCTTTTTGTCCGTAAGATCGATTGGACCCATGCAGAGGTGAACATATTGCGCACGCCAAGATAAAAGATGTACACTGTATACCCCATGGTCTAAAAACAAAATGGATTTTTTTTCTCCCATCGAAATTGTATTAATTTTTTGAATGACATGTTTTTTACGAGAGAAAAAACTCCCAAATTTATTAATATTAAAGGCGTCTGCAACCTCTGAAGAGGGAATTTTATTTTGCGCGCAAAAGAAACCTGCATTGCAAGAGCTGAATTATTATCTGGCATCCACAAGTTTTGTGAAGAAATAATTGAACAACTAAACGCCGGTAGCGATTCATTCGATGTCTTATTCAAAACAGAATAACTTTTACACGTTTGGAAAATTCCAATTGAAAAAAAAAAACAAATCTATAGTGTACATGATATATATGATACAGGTGGATCAATCTAAATGTTTGCGTACACCCTCGAAACATCATGGTGGGGTTCAAAAATAAGCACAGTTTTGCAAAGTAGATGTACAATCTTCACGAAGAAAATACAAAAAAAATTTGTGTATTTCATGTTTTCTCCCATCTCAGTTCAGGGGAAAAGTCGGTGAAGTCATCGTGGTCGACACAGATGGCGATGTCAAGGTCAACTTTGGCGGAGCGTCGTTCTTCATTAATCCCCTGTGTCTCGTCATGGAGAAGAAGAAGGGAGCTGAAGAATCCACAGCTAGTGCTGGAGGTAAGTGCTCAAAATATTATCCATTAATACCTATGTCGACACTGACAATATTTTGATGTCGACATTGTTAAAAATGAAGTGTCGACATTCACAGAAATAATCACAGGTACCGAAACCGTCCGTATGTACGTTTCAACAACACTACCACATACTGACTTAGTTCTCGACTTTTTAGAGCTGACTGGAAACTTAAGTTAAGATGCATCGATTGTCTTAGCTTGCGGTCATATTGACCGTGGATTTTAGCCAGTACTGCTGATTGTAGCGAACCACTTGAACAATTATTATTGGATGTTGACTGTTTTTTTTAATCAAAAGCTTATCCTATGTGCGGTCACTGTGACTGTTTTCTAATCAAATCTGACTAATGAATTTAAGGCTTCATTCAATATCTCATGGGCTAGCTTGGTATTTAATAGGTAGAAATTTAGGACTGATGAATTGACTTGAATACAAAGAAAATATGGTATCGGACATATACAAATATATCGCGGTATTAGTTTGTCATCTTTGCATGAATACCTCTGGGCGCTCATAACGGCTATCCACTTTTAAACCAAATTATACCTCAGGAATATTCACCAATATTTTCTACAAAAATTGTCCCTGTTTCCAGACACCGATGTAGGTGAGTTACTGGCTGCTCTACTCCTGAAGTCTCAACTGGGGAAACTCGGAGACCTATTTGGTGGATTGGCGGATACATCGGGCGGTGCTGCTCTCTTCCAGGCGGCAGCCACCGGCAACACCAACAAAGTGCGGGAGATCATCAATGATCACCCGGACGCGGTGAGAAGATTAGTTAAAGTCGGGTAACATGTAAGGAGTCGGGTTGGTGCAGTGGACATCTCCTTCCACTTAATTCCCGGGTTCGATTCTTGGTGCACAGGTGGCCGGATTGCGTTTTCAGTTTTCAGTCCCTCTCGATTGCAGTATCTCAGCCTGAAACGGCCAAGATTCTACTTAAATGGCATTCCATCGCCTTGTACTCCCTAGTTGTAACCATTATTATGCAGAGGGGCAGGTTAGATGAGGTGGCTTGCCAAAGGACACATGCAGCCAGCAGCTGGGTTGTGGGCGACAAATTTACAAGTCAATATCAGATTTTCTTGAATCGCCGTTGTTTCTCTGTAACAGGTCAAATTTCAAACTAATAAAAGAGAGACAGCCCTTCAGGCCGCCTCCCATCGCGGTCACATGGATGTAGTCACAGCTTTGGTGAAAGCCAAAGCACCATTGGAGCAGCAAGATGAGGACGGAGACAGGGCACTTGCCTTTGCAGTGCTCGGGTGAGCTACCTCATGTACTTGCCTTTAGTTTTAAGTGTCAGAAGTGGGATCCACACAGGATCACTGTGTGGATGGCGTGGCTTAATCGATCAGAAACAATGCGTAATTCACAATCTCAGATATGCTAAGCACCAGAGAATAAGTCGCTTTATACTTGTTACACGACTGCAGCTAGTTGGTACGGGCTTTATAAATAATACGACTGAGCTCAGAGAAGGGCCTATACCCAGGTGCGTGTGTGGAGGAGTGTGACACACCTGTTTGTCATTGGATGTCAGCAAACAATCGTGTCATGTCGGCAAGATATCAATGCTAGATATTTTGTACCCTCGACTGTTGTCGCCCCAGGTGTCAAAACAGCACAAGTCTGTTGTACGTTGGTTTCTATGGGTAATTCTGCGGTTATCCCTAATGAAAAAAAAATAGTAAAACATAAATCATAACATTCTGCCAAACCGCCACATTGCAGGTTATTTTCCAAATGTCGATAACAACCCTCCACACTTCATGGATAGTCGGGTATATTTCTCGCAGTAATTCTGACAGTTTTGTTTCTTAATGCAGTAATTATTTGGTTTTTTCCCTGACAGTGATGAGCCGAAGATTGTCAAGTGTCTCCTGCAAGCAGGAAGCATCATAAACGCAGCGAACAACAATGGTTTGACCCCACTCCACCTTGCCGCTGCGAAGGATCACCAGACATGCGTGGAAGTGCTGCTTAAACACGACAAGCAAAAATGCGACGTTAACTACAAAGTATGTCATTGAAGCCTGTTCACATTCATGATACTATGAAGTAACTTATTCGTTTCCTGTTCTAGGACATTTGACCTCAATATTTATCCATTTCTTCGAGACAAACACGACCGAAAAGAGTATAATTAAACGAGTTTGTTATATCGAGCGCTTGGATAGTGTCTTCCACTGGTCTAGGATGGACACGCTTAGCCACGGTCTGGTTTATAAAAACGCATGTCACACAGCGTGATATTGCGCTGCGTGCCAATTTCATCCAGCTGCTCAGCACACAAATGTGCTATGCACCAAAAAGGTCTGGCTTATAACAGCAGGTTATACCAGCCAAAACTCCATGTGATGGTATTCAGCTGGTGTTTGCTTAGCGTAAAAATCTCATAGAGTTTTGGCTGGTAACCTGCTTTTATAAGCCATATTTTTTGGTGCTAAGCAAATGTTTGTGCTTTATAGCAGCTCCATAAAATTGGTTCTGGATCTCATGTTTGGCAGGGCATCAAAACCTTCAAAACTCTCAGTGATAATATTTGCTTTCCTGGTACTTAATTTAATAGGACAAGGATGGTGATAGTCCATTACTCTTTGCCATTTCCAAGAACAACAAGCAGATCATCCATTTGCTGATAAACCACCCACGAATTAACCTCCGTCAGGTGAACAAGAAGGGATTCAACAGTTTGCATCACGCAGTGTTTTGCCAAAACAGTTTGTAGGTGTTTTTGTTTTCTTTTCTTATAAATATTGATTTGAAACTTAACCATATACACCCCGTGTTAACGTATAAAACATTATGACCTCAGCTTTAGACCAACCCTTGCATGATGACCTTTGAAGATTGTCCTAATTTGAAAAGAACACCTTCTTATACAGTCTGGGCATTGAAGTATAACAATCTGAACTTAAAAGTAAAAAGTCTGTAGAGTGCGTTACGTCATACCAACTCTGAAGATGCGATAATGAAACAAACGAATTTCATTACTTTAGTGCTGTGGAATGGATTCTAGGAAACTCACCAGACATGATCAATGTTGCCAAAACAGACGGTTTTACGGCACTTCACATCGCCGCCACAAACGGACTGGATGAAGTCATCTTGATCCTCGTCAAACAGGTGAGGTTGTTGATAGCATGGTTTACATAAAATGGAATACAAAACAAAACAGGACCAAAACACTAGAAAAAATCGAGACGAGCTCCCTAAATTTCGATTCAGACATGATCCACCTTCATCCGCGGGTGCCTAATTCGTAACCCCATTGTTATTATTTCAAAAACATGCCATCCAAATTCTCGCATCGAAAAAGAAGTACATGTAACAGTTTCTTAATACCAACCCGGTTGGCGGACACGCAGGGTCGCATTACATGTGCTTGCTTCGTTATGGCAGACGTTCAATCGTGGCTCTGCCAACGTGAATGTCTGCACCAAGGATGGACCCAGGGGGGAGCCAAAGGGGGCCATGCCCCCCCCCCAAAAAAAAAAACACCCGAAACCAATTTGTTTTTTGTTTTTATGTGACGTCGCAATAAAGGCAGGCAATGAGTACATCACCATCTTTTCCTCAAAAAAACATTGGTTAAAGTGATCAGAAATTGCCTCAGATCGCACCACAGAGCATCTGGAATCCAAATTTTTCGGGGCTTTTAAGCGGGCCCCGAACCCCACGGTTCTTGTTAAGTCACCGTTTTGCATGGTCGTTTCATCTGGCACACTATGGGCGTGTGTATTTATCGTAAAAATGTATTTATCGTGAAATGTGTATTTGTGACATCACGTATTAGAGTTAAAAGTACTGAAATTAATGACATTAAACAGATTGCAAATTTCGAACCTATCGCAACTCCTCAACAACAGCACGTTTCTCACAGCATCAGAATCCAGGAAATTCTGAAAGTGTTGAAGGTTCAGATCTTGAACAAAAAAATTAATACGATATAGTGGTTCATCTGTGACATTAGGCACCAGTTCATTCCAAACGGATTACAATAATTTGCAACTTTTGTTACCAAGGCCAACTGCAATAAAGAATTGAAAAATAACGATGGACAGACAGCGCTGCATCTAGCCACTAACGACACCTACAACAAATGTATTGAGGCCCTGGTCAACAATGGTGCCAATGTGAACGCCCAGGATAGCGACGGTGATACAAGCCTGCATCTGGTCATGATAGAAGCCTCCATGAAAGACATCCTGCGAGTCACACCACTGGGACAGGTAAATGTCGAGTTTTTAGGAGCATGATCTGAGCGAATCTGGCTACTTTCAACGCTTAGGAAATTATTTCGCTCAATAACTCCAGCAGAAATTCTTAGTAATTGCACTCTTTACTTTCGAAAGGACACTGGTGCATGCTCCAGCTGTTACAACGTGATGTATCTCAACTTGCAGTGTAGTAGAAATAAAACATTGTTTTTTGTAATATTCAAGTGCTTGTAATAGGGTACTTTGTGCAGAAAGATGTAAACAAACGCGCCTCGACACAATGCAATAAAGCTTGTCAATGTAGTTTGCGGCGCATTGGTAAGCATTATTGCAGCAGTATAGTATAGTCTTTCAAGGTTTCGATGTAAAGATTTTACACGCTCAATGTATACTTCACCAGAAAACATACAATTTGGAAACTGGACAGATTTATGTTAAGATTTCCCATACACGTTGTACCACAAAACCTAATAGTCGAAAACCAATTAATAAAGCATATCGTTTGTGGGTTTTGGAATATTTTCAAATTACCTCTTAAACTCTGATGACCAACCTATACCAAACAAACTTTATTTCATTCAAATCGATATATTGCAACAAACGCTGTGCATGTTTCATCAAACTCAGGGGTTGAAAATCAACTCGGGCGACTCTCCTTCAAAGTGAGAAGGTGCAGTTAGAGAAAAACACAAAGGATTTATTTCCTTTGTTCAAGAGTAACATGTGACTTATTCTACTGGATTCGATCTGTAAACTTGATAAATAAAAAAAGTGGCCCAATTGGTTTCAAGTCCCGTATTGTGATTGCTGTATCCTTTGAACAAACATCCCAATGAAACCAACTAAAACGCATTTGAAAGACCTATAATTCTACTCAGCAATACATCAGACACGATTTGTATACTACCCCCACTTTCATGAACAAATATGCCCGACTCGACTTAAAGGGGGTCTCTCGTGGAGCTTTTTTTGGTTTCTAAATCACTCGGACGTTTTAACCTTTATAAGGACACAGCAGACCCCACACTGTGAAACACTGTTCTATCAATCAACATACCTGTATCACAATGTATGACACAATGCTTTGTAATTGCTAAACCAAAATACCATTTTAGTTTCAGCAGAATGTTTTTGTTGAATTGTTTAGTTGATGGAGCTTGTCGAGCAGATCGACGAAGACAGTTCTTCCGACCAAAGAACCAACCTGGTTCTCATAGCGCTGTACCTAATTAAAAATGGCGCCGACATCTACATCAAGAATAAAAAAGGGCAGAATGTTCTTGACCTCACCCTCAACCCAAAAGTTAAGCAGCTATTGAAAACTCTCTTCGAATTGAAAAGGTGAGACTGCTCTTAACTTAATTTATACTGTCTTTATCTGTCCCGAAAAAAATACATCAGGCATGCTTGTCTTCCACTACAGCGGCTTTCACCCGATGTTTGCACGTTGATTTTGTTTGTGCTAACATTGTCATCTTTATGTGGACTTGAAAAAAAAACTATACGAAAGTCCACTATACGATGCAGGTTGTGTGACCTTACGTGGACTAAGCCATGCCCACATAAGGTTCCCCCCTCTGGAAAACGGGTTTAGAGGCATTTTGGGGTAATGTTTATCGGTCGCAAAATAAAGAGGAACACTCAAGCAAATTCGTATTTTAAAAAATGGGTTGGAAGGGTATTAACAATGCACCGAGAAAAATGAAGACAAAGGAATGCCACAGTACTTTTGTAGGCCGAGCTGTGTGGGTACACGTGTGTGCATGGCTGTGTTCGCGACTTCATGGGTATTTCGTCTGAGATATTGCAAAATGTTATCTCACCGATTTCTGGCAGACTTACCGACCATAGAAGAGGCTCGGATAAAAACTACTCATTCGGGGACCATGCATTCCGCGGTGGATTTATTATGACGATAATTTCGCAATACTTTGCAAATGAGTCGAGTAGGCCTAAGCATGTTATTTTTGTCATGCATGTTAAAAGTCAAAATAAAAATCAGGTATTGGACGACCAATGATGGGGCAAGTATGCCCTAGGCTATAGGAAGTTAGAACAGAGCTGTGAGAAGGGTAAACCCAGAAAATTGCTCGCATTGAACATGCCTTTTTTTTTAAATAGTTATTTTACTAATGCATGCATATGAAAAAGAATACATCCTATCTTTATGCATACGATTAACCTTTTATCTCTGGAATTGTATTCTGTCTATGCAGAGTGATATACTAATAAGAGTCGAATATCAAAGTAGCTGCGTGATATTTGGTTGGCGCAATTTTTTTATTTTTTTTTTTGTATTTCCTACACCGTCATTCAGGTTGCCTGGTGAGTTGTTCCCAATACATTTTAAATGCATTTTGTTTACATTAAAGAGCTCCGTGCGTGGCACATAAGAATAAGTATCCAGTCAATGGTGATAACGGAAAATGTTGCATCATCTCCTCTGGTATGCAGTAATTCATACGGTGTAAAAATAGCGCCAAACTCTGGACTGCTTTGAGTCCAGAATACGGTAACCAGACTACTTTGGCCTCCCTCTCAAACCGATACTTTCCTGATAGGCCTATGCCTTCTTAAAATCAACGGATGTACAGCGTGCTTATGGGTACATGGTTGCGCTATAGTTCTGCAGGGGAATAAAAAGTTATTGAGCTATTCTCTGAGGTATCTCTCCTATCTTTGGATCGTTGCAGGAGCGGAGAGACACCAAAGAAACGTTGCACTGTCAGCTAAACGGTTTGCCGTGCAACCAGCTGCACAACACCAAGTCGTGGCAAACGGCCCACAATTGCAACAAGAGTAAATCCTCTCTTAGCTCTTTTCGTTGCAATACATCCCCACCTGTGATGAACGATGATCTATGTAGCCAGCTATAATTAATACATATACTTTTCCCTTTGTAGCTCTACAGGGTGAGTAAAAAAAAAATGTCGGGACTTTTGTTTTAGTGAAGCTAAACCGTGTAGCACTTTACAAATCTAGAAAATGAAAGCCCAATTCATAAGCTTCTTTTATTACAAAAAATCATTCAAATCACTTGTGTACTTTTCAAGTTACTGAATTTTAAACACAACAACCGTTTTAAAGTTCTGTCCACGGATCACAAAAAAAAGGTGTGCGTTTGTCAGCAAAACAAAAACAATTCACACAAGCTCCTTTGTGATTTGTTTTCGTTTTGCTGAAAGAACACTTACCCTTTTGTGATCCGTGGACAGAACTTTAAAACGAAGGTTTTGTTTAAAATTCCGTAACTTGAAAATTACATAAGTGATTTTAATTACTCTTGTACTAAAAGAGTGCTTTTGAATTGGGCTTTCATATCCTAGATTTTGCAAGTGCTATATGCAGAACTTCACTAAAACAATGGTCCCGGCATTTGGGTTTCGTTTGTTTTTACTCATCCTTTTTTTTTTTACTTTAGCTCCATGAGGCGTATAGATCGCAGCAAAATTTGGAAAACAAAAATGAACTGTATTGCCCCATAAGAAACCTGTTCATTGAGATATAGCCGATTGGGGCGTGTAGAGAGAGAGCAGGCTGGGCGAAACGAGTACAAAATTAACATCATCGTTTAATGTCCTTTCATATGTCAGCGAAACACAAAACCCTACCCAGAGCCTTGATCGAGTTGATATAAGTTTTACTCGCATCATAAATTTAATTTCAGCTATACCTTCAGCCATTTATTGATAAAGGACCTTAAAATATTATCACGTACACAGAGAATACCGGTCTGTTGACATTAAAAAATGAGAAGTGCTGTACATTACTGAAAAAAATACATTTGCCCAAAATAATTTTACACGCCAACCATCCTGTTTTGCTCTATTAAAGCACAACATTAATGTGACATGCCATAGCATAATGAGGAATAACCCCCACCTAACCTTTGACTTTTCACGTTATGTACATCATGTTAAAGCGCAAATCTTTGTGGCTTTCCAATGATACAAAATGTATATCTGTAGCTTAATTTATTCCAAAGATATGCCGCAGGAACTTCAACAGTGTCCTGCCAAGTTTCGCTATTCTCATTTCGAGCAAAACCGCTTTGAAAAAAAGATGCGCATTGCGTCGCCAATAGCAGTAAAAAAGGTTCTTCAGTTTTTCCACTTTAGTGGGTATTTTTTGCCCAACAAAAATGCATTCTGTGAATCTTGGATACCTTGGCTACTCAACACTACAAAACAATCAATATTGATGTTGACACTATTTTTCTTGTATACATGTATTCGACTTCAGCCGTCGACAACTCAAAACAAGGTTTTGGGTGACATTCCTCATTTTGCCTCGGTAGTTCAAAAATAACACCAATCTGCCTTTAACCGATCGTAACTATTGATACAAACTACCATGTAATAGTATTCGATGAAATATACATGTCATTGTACAACACCATGTTAGATTGTGGTATGTAGTTCGGTGTGAAATCCACAGTTCAAACGAAGGGTGCATGCTTAACGTAGAGGTTTTTAAACAAAGGTCACTAGATCCTTATATAAAATTAAACACGAGTGTGTATTTTGCTTTTCTGACAAATCTGCATATTGCAATGCCCTGCAATTTTAAGACCTTAAGACATCAATGCAGGTTTGAAAAAAACAATAATGGGTTGATTTTCTAAAATTATTGTGTTATCGACTTCTTGATGCTTGAAATGATCAGAAACATTCATTTTCCCTTGGCAACTTGAATCTTGTAATATGAACTCATTAGAGCTTTAGAGTTCAGACATCTTAAATGCGTGTCAAGTTCAGTATTCAATTTAACTCATACACTCCTGCATGATTTATTATCTGAATATCATTTCTCTTAGTACATATGTTATAAGAAACGATTGTATTAAAACGAACAGAAATTTGAATTTAAACAATACTCAGAGTACTAAATTGTTAATGAAGAGTTAAATGCTTCAGTCAAGTTGGAACCCTCGTTACCGTGGTTTGTTTACATTAATGCTTGATTGATATATGTTATTCATTCATTCATTTAGATTTGTTATTCATTCATTCATTGTATTTCAATGTTGCCATTGTTCACAATGTGTACAAACTTGTATGAACAAAAAGAAATAGATAATTTGTAATTAGTACTTTATACGGGGTTCTTAAATGCTATAGGAGCCCAAAAATAACGACAACATGCATACAAACCAATCCTGGCACGCTAACAGTTCTATCACGAAGGTCCCCTTCAATGGCGACAGCATTATGCTAGCTAATGTTAAGATAATCCGTACGGGACAGTTGTTTGCACAATAGTGTGCATAACGGTTTCTCCATTGAAGGGGGCTTTGTGAGTGTACAATGATCACGTGTCTGGATTCGTCAATAAAAATAATTTTGTGTCCCTACTTGTGGAATTCTGAATTCGTCGTTAAGATAAAGAGGAAATCTGTTTCATGGAATTTTATCACAGAGATATCAACCAGATAATATTATTTAAAGTATAGTGCTTCGTTGTGTGTATTTGAGGGTGGCTGTATTGCATGGTTAATTCTTCAAACATAATTTAGTTACGTGTATTTGGTTTATGTACTACATTACTTTACTATGAAGGACAAATCAAAGTTTCCTGATTGTTCTGTAGTGCACGTTCGGACAAACACATTTAACAGCCAGCCGTGAGTGAGTCTGTATATCACTTTGACTTGGCCTGGGCCAATTACGCACAATGAACCATTTGTCGTATGGCCGTATTTGGAAATATAGAAGCACTCGTACTCGTACAACAAATACTGGTACTCGTGTTCGTACTCGAAAGTACAAGTACTCGCACTCGGAGACTTGTACTTGTACTCGTAAGCACTCGTAGTCGTACTCGGTAACCTAAGTACTCGGCGTTACTCGATACTCGAAAAAAAATTACTCGACTACACAACTCTGATCCCAACACTATAGACTAGCCAGAGCTCTTAAGGCCCCCCCCCCCCCATAAAAAAAGTCTCCGGTTTCTGGTAATGGAGCTTGCCCAAAAAGTGGTGGGGCGACGCGGCTTCTTTTTTTTACCTTTTTTATTCTTCAAATGTCGGCTGATGACTGCAAATGGTGCCTGACTAAACTTAGTGCAAATATATGTGAGTCCAGAGAGGCCACATGAATCTTATTCTCGATCGTTAGCCCATCTGAAAACACGTTAAAATTGTGCAGCAGCAGGATTCCTGTCAAACCAGTGAATTTGGCGGTTTTGAAACATCATCTTTCATTAAAAAACAAATACTTTTTTTTCATTTTGCCGACGCGCATGGCTACGGCAAACCGGAGACTTTTTTTTGGCCGAAAGGATAGTGAATATTATTTTGATGTTCGACCCCATTCAGCTTTTACAGAATTGTACCTTTTCAGATCCAGCTGCAGATCGCGACAGCCCGACCACCTCGTGGAAGAGTTCTGACCGGTCGTTGTTCGCATTCCAGACACCTCTCATGTTCTTGTACGCGACCAGGGCAAGCGCGGCCTGATCAAAGCGGTGCGTGTACCGCTGAGGACCTTTCTGGTTTTGCGCTAGCACACTACCTTTTGGGGCGATGCACGCCATGTTCATCGCACAGTCCACCCAGGGTCCGATGATTTTTGTCCGCACGAGGGCGCTGTTTACAAACAACAGTCGGTTGGCCTCAAAGCACATTGCGTAGCCGGCATCTGCACGGAACTGCTCCCTGTCGATGCCTATGGCTTCGAACATCTTCGGATGGGTTCTTACCAACATCTTGTTGGATTTGAACTCCATGATTCGTCTCATGAAGCCTTGCTGCTCCTTGAGCAGAGAGAAGAGGACCAGTGGATCCTGCTGGTAACGTGCTGATGCATCGCACCAAAAGATGACACCAAATTCATCCAATGTCTCCTGTTTGGCGGTGTAAACATAAATATGCACTTGACATTACTTTAGTCCATGCGCTGAACTCAGAACTTAAACTGCATAACATCGTGACCCTCAGCGGCAGAGACAAGGTTTTTGACAGTCACGACCATGGTATAATCTCTCCAATTGAGATTGCTAGTCTTCATATTTTATCTGTTTGTCAACCGAGTTTGAACTTTCTGAAGCGCAGTAACACTCATATTAATTCATCGTCATTTAAAAAACAATTATCCAAGTGACAGGAATCAGTGTGCAATATAGCATCAGTAATATTATTTCATCGGGGGTATAAGTCCACCTGCTCGCTGTGGTTTTGTTAAAAGTACAATGCCGTCAGTGCATGATTATTTGATAAACGGTCAAATAGTTCCCGTGTGTTAATAACGCGTACCTTACTTACTTACTTAGTTAGGTTGATGGGAATAGAATAGGCTAAGCCTTTGTGACCCCATATCCAATTTCTTTCCAGTAGGTATCAAGATGGTTCTTAAACAGGTTTGTTGAGGTTGCATTCACCACATGTGATGGGAGGTTGTTCCATTCAGAAATAACTCGGATGGACAAGAAGTTTTTTTCTGCAGTTCAACCCTTTCTTTAATCCTGGTTTGTAGAGCTTTAGGTTGTGACCTCTGACTTGGAATGGGTTGTCATGTCTCTGGAAGAGCTTGCTCTCCTCAATGCCTTCCAAGCCGTTGAGGATCTTATAAACCTCGATCAGGTCCATCTCCAATAATCTCTCTGTATTTACCTAAATACCTCCAATAATCTCTCTGTGTTTACCTAAACGTAAACACTGTCCGAATCAATACGCGGTGAATTTAGCAGTCTATTGGAGTCATTCTTGACAACGTCTTCCACCCACCTGTATGATCAGAGGTTTCCATGAGTATGTGTGGAGATTTCGTACATGCGGCGGGTACTTGGCAAAGTTAAAGCTTCGGAGTTCAACGTTGCAGAGCCGTTTTACCTAGTACGTGTAGTAAGAGAAACAAAACCTTTAAAGGCACGCACGTAACTTCATTTTTTTTGTGAAGGTTCTTGTTTGAACAGAACAATGTTCAAAATCCTAAGTAGGGTGCATCACAACACCCTTGGAATATTTAGCTCAGCAGCTAAGATATACTACCCCTTTTTCATAAAACAGGAAAAAACATATGCAAACTCATTGTTTCACGTTACTGAACTTCCGTTTGTAACAAAAGTATAAAAGTGTGTCCTCAGGCACACTTAAAACATAACCCTCAATTATATTCTTCCCTACAATACAGTTTCAGGAGGGATATTTTCACAGGGTATTTTGTACCATCCATGTCCTGACCTTCAGCAAGGTTGTTCTCATTAAATCGGTACGGTAGGTCCTTTACGGGTTAATGTCAATGTTATACGTACCTTCAGTTGCATTAGCATTGACATTTCACTTGTTCCAATAGGCGTTTATGTTAAGTCATTTCCAGCATGTCTTCATATGACCATTGCTTCTTACCTGTTGGATACCTGCTGTATTGAGTCCAAGGTTGTACATTACGATTCTAGTGTTCGGCAGGAATTCCTGCACGCTGGCGATCATTCCCATCGATTCCTTCAAATGATTCTGCGATATCGCAGTCACTATTACCGTCCGATTCATGAGTTCTCTTGGATCCGCAGTGACCAAACCTATCATGCGCTCATCGATTCCAACCTCTTCGATTACTCCGTTGCGTCGAACTTGACCAGTATCGATATCTCTGGACTCATTGTCAATGTCTTTGATTAGTTTCCTTTCAACCGTCGAGCTGTTGCGAGGAATGACCCCAGACAATCTGACGTCATCGGGGTCACGAGTTACCTCAGTGGGTACTTGTTTCAGAGATTTCTCCATGTAGTCTGTGAATGAAACAGAAAGTTTGAAATCAATTCATAAAAAATACACCATTTTGCCTAACCCTAATCAGGCCGGGTCATTTTGACCATCTCTCAGCCGGCGGGCGGATTCCCCCCCCCCCCCTAAAATCTCAACCATCGAGTGACGAAAAAAATTTGAAACTTTGTACATGCATAGAGCAACTCATCATAAACATACCCAGGACATTTCATGACTATAGTCAAAAGATTTTGGAATTATGGCTAATTAATTATTCATAATTTTTTAATTAAAATTAAAACAATTTAAGGCTTTAGTGGACAAAGTTGAGGGGGAGGACGAATTCCGCCGCGGCCCTTTTAGGGTTAAAATATGGTCATTTCGTGTACATCACACCTTGTTTCATGAAGACGTGGTACCCGACCATCGCAGCACAGAGGACTATCAACACAGATAAGGCGAGTTTCATGTACAGAAGAGTCTGACTGGCCATCGCAACATGCCGTAGAGGTTTATAGCCTTGCAGATTACGTCACCAACAGTATCACAGTTGCTACACCTTGAAAGTGGTATGGAAGAAAAGAAATTAAGTTTTGTACAATGTAGTAAACAACCCAGAATTCCCACTGTCTTTCATTTCTTTCAGCATAACATTTGCTTCTTATTGTGTGGCGAATGTATAGGCCTACATGTAGTCCGAAAATTTGGGACTCTCAACACTGTGTATGAGAGTCCCAAAACTTCAGCTATTGAAAACATGCAATACAAGAAAATAGACTGGCACATGAAACAACCAGTCCAACACCCCTTTAGTAATGCATCAACCAACCGTGTGAAAAGAAACATCTGGGACCTAGTCTATCTTTTTCTACACATTCTCCCCAGTCATGCCTCAAGACTACTGAAGGGTCAATCTTTTCAAAAAGTTGGACACGTACCAGTCTAGTATTAGCTTCAAATTGAAATCACTTGGCATCACTCTCGGGTGCAAAATGTTGAAAAAAGTCTCCTTTAAAATTGAATTCAGACCTCAAACTTGGCTGGTGAGCGAAATACTATAATAAGAACTTTAACCCCCCTCCCCAAGCTCTGTCATAAAAAATATTTTTCATAAAAATTCCAAAAAAATAATGCAAAAAACCGCCCTGCTCTGACACCCCCCCCCCCCAAAAAGACAAAAAAAACTGTCTACATTTAAGAATGTTTTGCTGATATGAAACCCCCCCCCCCCCCCCGCAAAAATCTTGGGTCCTCCCCATTTTGTCAGCTAAAACAAATGAGTAATATAATGTTGGCCTGATTAGGTTTTGCATGGTAGTTTTTTCTGCACTCAAGGTGCCGGTCTGTGTTAGAGCATACCTCAGAGCGTGGTCAGATGTATTTTAACATTTTAACATTTAGTAACAATGAATGCACTTACTCATGCCTATCCAAGCAATGTCAATCCATCGCCTTCTGCCTACGCCTTTAACACTATACATGCACATGTCGTCCTCTGGTTGTTAAATCAGAGTAAAACGCATTAGATCGAGCATTGTTTTTTTTTTTACATGGAGGAATAAACACATACATATTATATTCATCCATGATTATACTACCGCAAAGAAATGTATTATACCTGTAAAGGGACAAGCACCATGTCTTCACTGGTTGGGCCTCCAGTCTTCATTGGAAATTCCGTTGTATGTTAACATAATATTAATATTGCTTCAACTTCATTTAGTGGTCGCGACAGTCACGCTTCGCAGGCTGTGTTTATGATCTCTTGCGACAACACTGGCCAACAATACAATGGCCAACACTGGCCAACGTATTACGTAACAACATGTAGAGAGACTCAAACATTGAAAATAAAGCGTGGCGTTGCGTCAAAGTAGACATAACGACGTGGCGACAAATTACAAATATGACCGCCCTCTCCACATGTTTACTTTTCCTGACGAAGTTTTATTTACATGTATTTTTAATGTTATCATAAAAATGTTTTTAGTTCAATAATCACGAAAGATCACGAAGGGCCTTTAAAACCTCTGAACATGTCTGACAATACACAGACAGGGATAATGGTTTTGAAGTCCGTCCTTTGCATGGAATGGTTCAACAAGCTGTACAGTTCAAGTTCAAGTAAGCAGGAATCACTGAGGCGTTGAGATGCCGTGCTTCCCTGCCAGATCGTTCAATCGTTCCTAGATTACTTGCAGTTCCTTCAAATAAAGTAGGCAGTGGCATAGCCGGGGGCAAATCATTTTTTTCCAAAAACAACATCCACAATACATGGTGGTCTAGAGCCCTCTTTACTTATTATGAGACGTACGCAGGTATTACCATGAATTTCCTGCTCAATCGGTAGAGTCTTGATTTTGTACCGCTGGGGATCCTCGTGGTGTGGGTTCAAATGGGGTTTTTTTTGTTCTAATCTAAAGCTTTGGAGGATTTTTTTCCTCATAAAGTGGGAATTTCATTACGTTCGAATTCATTTCTTTTTTATCATTCTATTGTTTTTGTCCTGTTTTTAATGTCCAAAATGTCAAAGCGTACACCCTTTGCGGCAGCCGGGGGTGCAGAATGGCAGATTGCCACGGGATGCAGATTTGAAAAGCAAATCGGGACGTTGATAGAAGTAAAATCAGGACGGTGAAGACGTATTAAACGGGACGAAAATTCTGTTTTGCAACGGGCAAACAACACCCATTGATACACGCCTGATACCAGGGGAGGCCCTTAATAAAGCGTTTAAGAACCAGCATCGCTTTGGTTACGTTGATTTGAATGCGAAAAAATCAAGATGGCCGAAACATGATAATGGGCTATACATCTAACGGCACCGCTAAATACAGCTGATGCTAGAAATATAAAACGAAGACTAGTAGAGCTAAGTTACCAGTCATTGGGGAAGATAGGTAACCAGTCACTGACTGTCAGTGACTGGTTGCAGACCTTCGCCTTTTCGTAGCCTTCACTGGAACGGGCCACTTTAACAACGTCTTGAAACAGTTCCGACCGGTCATTTTGCTCCTTGAACACACCCCTCAGATTCTTGTAGATGATTAGGGCGAGTGCGGCCTGATCAAAACGGTGCGTGTACAGCTTTGGTCCCGCCATGAATTGCCGTATGACGCTCCCATTCGGGGCGATGCAGGCGGGCCTAAGTGCACAGTCCACCCAAGGCTCGATGATGTTCCTTCGCACGAGGGCGCTGTTCACAAACAGCAGGCGGTTGGCCTCGATGCACATGGCGTAGTCGCCGTCCTTCTTGAAGTTTTCCCTGTCTATGCCTAGTGCCTCAAACATCTTAGGGTGAGTACGAATCAGCATGTAATCAGGTTTGTACTGAACGACTCGGCGCATGAAGCCGTGTTGCTCCTTTAGCAATGTGAACAGGACCAGTGGATTTCTCTTGAATCGCGCCGACGCATCGCACCAAAAGACGATGCCAAACTCATTCAACGCTCCCTGCAAATTGTGCAAAAGATATTGAGTTCATTTATGGATATTTCAAACACACTGAGTCTGGTTTTTTTTGGATGAGAGTATTATATTATCAATGGGTTTGCGTGCATTCCTAGGCAACTGTTGCAGCTTAATAGCTGAGGGAAGGTCATGTCTGTTTACCAATTAAAATGACGGTTATACAGGGTGAGTTCAAAAAAAGCAGAACCCAAACCCCCAAAATTATATTTCATATTTGAAAAAAAATATGTAGCACCAAATATAATCATGACCCGAAAGCCAATGTCATAAGCTACTTTTAGATGAAACAAATTACTGATATTGCTCCAACCGTTCAAAGTATAAGCACAATGACCCCAAAACCTCATCCGTCCAAAATGCAATTTCAATAATCGTCGTCACAATTGTCTGCAAACTTCACCAGCGATAAAACCTTAGTTTCAAAGTTTAACATGTTCAACAAAGTCCTTTTGAAGGACCGTCTTTTAAAAAAGTGGATTTTACAAATCATATTGTTTGTCGAACCACGGTTATTAATAAAGATATTGTGAACTACAGTTGTTGACAGTTGTTCGGACAAGTATTCTGTGTCATTTTCTTTGTTGTTCCAAACAGTCAAAATACACAATAAACTGCTTTTCTTGTTGGACGAAACAGGTTTTAGGGCCATTGCGTTTAAATGGTGATATTCTTTGAACGGATTGAGCAATTTAAGTATTTTTTTCATCTAAAAGTGAAATTGGCTTTTCAGCAAATATTATGTTTCGTGCTATGTATTTTTTAAATATGAAATATATTTTTGGGGGGGGTTGGGCTCCGCTTTTATTACTCACCCTGTATCTGGTGTCGGTCTCTGCATGATCTGCGACTTTTCGGTGCTCTGTTATGACCTATAGGTATACGATTCACAAACTGTATAACATTTCTTCTATGTCGCCATTTGAAACTGAATTTGTCTCGCAACCGAACGCCTCGGGCAATGCAGCTTAAATATGCTCGCTGCTTCAGCTCCTATTAAAACTGTATGGTTGTCTTAATGTACTTTCACTGGATTTAACTGCTGTTCTAGGTATTGACGATGGTATTGACCATATGAAACATTTCGAAAACTTCCTGTCGTTTTCATTCTGAGCGTTTGAAAGATTCACCCGAAGGAGACAAATTATAACATTTATTTTAGCCACAATCGACATTGAAAAGAGACTAAAGGAATGAAGGAGCGTGGGCACGTGAAAATCCTCAAGTATTTGTGTCATTTCTTCGGTAAAATTTACCTGAATTATAAGCGGTTTCCACGCGAACTTTAAGAGATTCCTGACGTGTGACGGATACATGCTGAAATCAAACGTTCGAAGTTCTACATTGCAAAGACGTCTCACCTAAAGATAAAAACAAACAAATGGTAGGGCTCATTTTAATGGAACAATGTGTCTTGAAGGTAGTTCAAAGGCACTAAGTAATGGCGGCATGAGTATGACACTTCAGTAAGATAGAACTGGAAGTCAAACGCATAGAACAACACAGGGTTGGTAGTCGGTGGCCTTGTTCGATGTTTTTTGTGGATTTTTGTTTTGTGTAGGTCCGAGACAAAAAAATGACGTCGTGTTTCCCAAACGAGACCCGACGGTATCAAAGGAGGGCGCTCTCTCTACAATGCGTATTCATGATGTCCAGGGCTTTAGAGAATAAGTTATATAACAAGTAATGAATGTGTTTAAATCACCAACGATTGGAAGCTGATTCGTGGACTGGTTTGAAGTAGTCCTGGCTCGGAGGTGATCCGAGTTCGAATCCCAGTGAGCGTTTTTCACTTCTTCTGATTTTACCTTTTAATATTACTAAAGTGCAGCCTGAAGGAAAATTTCTCACCAAACGTAATAGTAGGCCAGCCAAATGTGGAAAAGTTCTCTAGAAAAAAAATTCACGGCATTTTTCGGCAATAGCTTGCATCCATGCTAGATCAATTCTTTGAACCATAACAAACAAGATGTGTGTGGATGCCATCGTTAAGTTTGACCCTTAATGTCTAATTTGCATAAATCGTTAATGCCTACCATGTCATATATCCCCCCCCCCCCATATTTGGGTACATTTGTTATGTTGTCTTTAGATATCTTTTACCTTGTCTTTAGATATATTCAAGTATTCTTGCTAAACCTCAGTTTTGATGAGCTTCAAAAGCACCAAGTTGCTTAATGGCGCAGTTACCCTATTAAAACCTTATGGAAAATCATGTGAGGAATAACAACATGGTGATATTAAGCCCAGCGAACAAAACGGGGAAAACGAAGTGTCCGTTAATTGGCCTAATTAGTAAAGGGTTTCCTACTTAATGATATCTGAAGATAAGGTAAATGCACACAACAAATGGGTATAAAAGTAGCCATTTTGGATCGTTACTATGTCCTCATATGCTTAAGAAAAATGTTATTAAAGTGAGGATATTAGAAGGATGACCAGAATATACTTTTCAAAAAAATAAAAAAATAAAGAATATTATTCAAATATATGAATAAATATATTACACTGCAGAGTTTAATAATTTATGCAAATAAGGTATATTTTGGGTCAAATTAGGGTGGCATCCACCTACATTTTCTTCTCCATTCTTTGACTATTTGATCTGACAGGGTTGCCTGCTATTACCAAAATGTCGTCCACAGTGTAATATTCCACTTTGGCTGGTCCACTACAAAGCTTATCTTCGGTTTGTGGTGTGGAGAACAAGGCATTAGATATGCATGTTCGCAATTCGCAATTCGCTCCCCGCCTAGCTCCCATAAGTAAGCTCACATGTAACTAAATGAATTTCTCCCGTTTGGAAGACCGTATCTCCATGTAACTCCCAGGGTTTGTTTCCATTATAATGACTACGTGCAAAAATCGACATGTTCAGTATTTTTCTTTGAAATTGGAAATTGGAAAAACATGCTTGGGTACGTCCATGTTTTTAAGCTATAACACTGGTGTTTGCATTATATGCTTATCTTTTCAAGCCTCACGAATATTTATATGGTTCTTATCATTAGGCGTATGGTGTGCAGTAAAAATGTGCACTATCGCCTCCTTCACAATTTATTATTAATAAATATCACCCTTTTTCCCCAGCTCCCATTGGTCGGTACCGAGACCCGCGCGAAGTCACGCCGAGTCACGCTAATGAATATGCTAATCATGCGCTTCATCATCACTGTTGCGGCAAAATCGGCTAACCTGAAAAAACACGTTATGTTTTGGTCTCAAAAAGTCCTAGTCCAGTGAGGTTTGCCTTGGAGCTAGTTCAAGGGGTAATTCTAGCGTTTGCTAAAACAGATTGAGCTAAAAATTGGAATGTACGAAGATGATATTAGCGTTCAACTACTCGTGAAATAACGACTGGTGAGGATTCCTAGAAATTGAGACAAGTAAAAAAATTTAGGGACCTTTTCGAATGATGTTTGCACGACATTTTAGGTCAGTTTTACCAGTGACTATGGACGTTTGGGCTTCAATAGCAGTGATTAGTTTTGCACTGACATTAAGTTTAAATTTTTTTTCGTTAAAATTTGTTCTGTTAAAATTTAACATTTCAATCATACTGAGCATATTTTCTAAAAAACAGAACGTTGAAAAAACCTTGTTTCGAGGTGCATTGATTTCACTGTTCTGTTTTTAGCGTCGCAATATGCGTCATCGGATTAAATATTGCCTAAAAACGCTAGACGCGAAGCCTTTGCAACCACACGGCTAATAATACTCGATGCTGTCCAAGAGCTCGCGAGAAAAACCAACAAGCTTACTCCGGGAAGAACTCGAACCCACGACCTCCTGCTTGCAAAATGCAGACGTCTTACAACTCAACCACCGCGCTTGACGGGTCCGCTGGTTGGTTCGAGTCCCATTATAGCAACGAGTATATACCGCAATCGATTACATTTTGGTATGGAACTAAGTTTGTTTGGGGGCCATTCACTAAAAAAAATGCATAATTTGATTAACATTCTAACCTGTTTAATACCTCTTGGAGTAAGGCCCAGGTCATACATTATGATTCTAGTGTGTGGCAGGAATTCCTGCACGCTGCCGATCATTCCCTTCGATTCCTTCAAATGATTCTGCGATATCGCAGTCACTATCACCATCCGATTCATCAGCTCTTTTGGCTCGGCAGTCTCTAAATCGATCATGGTCCCACCGACTCCGACTACGTCGCTTCTTTCGTGCACTGTTTCTTCTTCAGCGTCGATTTTTGCGATGCCGGTGACAATTTGTTGGACAGGTTGACGTTCGAATAATGTTCCGTTTCTGGTCATAACATCTGGGGGATTGACGTCATCGTCGAGGTAGCCCAATGCAATCTTCACGTATTCACTGACGCGCCCTGAAGAAAAAAAAACCCTTTTTTATATGCTTGAACAATTTCCACCTTTACCGAGTAGTTGTAACCGATAGTCCTAATGGAAAATTATACTTATAAACCGTTCATTTTCTTAAAACTACGATGTTTGGGGTAGAAAAACCAATTATGACAACCAACCCTTGTTTTCGTGATCGGCATGATCTGAAACCAGTGATCGATGGGGTTGTGCCCCCACCCCCTCCACCACACAACATCCACCCCTTTAAAAAGAAAGAGAGAGCGCGGAGAAAAGGGGAAAACAGAAAAGGGCCGATGCAAATAAAATGTGTGTACATTGCACAATAGAAACTGCCAGCAAGGTGGCAAAAACGCAACTACGCGTGGAGTACATTTTAGCAAGAAAAGCACCCGGCGTCAGATGAGGTCCAACCCTATCCCCCCCCCCCCCCCCCCCCCGCGCTTTTTTTTTCCAAGACGGGTCTAAAAATACTCGTGAGCCCTCAAATGTTAATGAAGTTTGGGACTTGTAAGTTACTGGTACTTTTGGAGCTGGGCAGTATTAGGCCTGAAGCTGGGACTAGCAAGTTTTAGGGGTGCATGACATTTGGGCAATTGTTATTTTTTGTACTTGTTTACTTCTATTTTATTTGTTTGTATTTATAAGTACTGTGAACTAGATTTGTTTTTTGTCTCGACTTGATGCAATCTGTGATTGCCACATCTTGTCTTTAGAAACAAATAAACCATTTTATATTAATGATATTAATAATAATTACTCTAAATGCTATAATAGGGCGACTTTCCCATAGACTTGTGCACGAACCTAAACTGTCACCTCACCCAAGTATACCTTATTTATCCTTTCTCCACGAAATTAGTTGTTTTTACTAATTGGACCACGAGGAATCGATCTAAATGGTTTGCGACACGAACATTCCTTGTCCTAAGGGTCGTTTTAGCAATAGGGTGACACCAAATTATCGCCCCAATAAGGCGTGTCGTCCTAATCGAGACGCGAATTGAAAAAACTGTCGCTTGTTTGCAGGATTCTGTACATTAAGACAAAAAGGCCTTGCGGGGGGTGGGGGGGTTGCACTACCGGAAACATAATTGTACCGTACGTACCTTGATGAACACCGATGTAGAACACCATTGTTAGGACGCAGATGACGAGTACTGTGGTCATCCTCGCTTTGTTCGTGAACATCATGACTTCGGGTCAACAGACAGAAACTGACTCAACAAAATCCAAGAAAGAAATGAAACAACAACATAAATATCCACAACTCGTCATACATTAGGTGCCATAAAAATGGCGCGGGCACGTGATACGTAAGCGCGGCTCGGGAAAGTTGCCTGTTCATCACTATTTTGTGTTGTTATTGCACCATTCACATTTCCCATGGTAAGTCCGATGAAATAACCATGCAATGCATGGTTTTAAAGAGGTTGTGGAATGCTGAAAGTCGTTTTGTTTTTACATATTTTTTTAATTGTAGAGTAGACCCATATATATCATAATGACAAAGTCCCATTCTTTTGTAATGTGCGTTGATGTTTATAAAACTGAAATTCATCGAGTAATGTGTTGGTCGTCGAGTGCATAATTGAAATCAACAGTCGTCGGGTTCTTCGTAAAATCAGGAAAAATCGTGACGTATAAACAGGACTCGTTTATACTACGCTGCTAGGGAGTCCTGTTTATTACGTCACGATTTACTATGTTTTGTTTGCTGCCCCATCGACGAATTTTACACAAATTGCACATAAAACAGCTCTCAAAAGTACCTTTTGTACTCATTTCATGAGAGACGCAATAGTCGTTTTTATTTCATCACGCCTTAGGCTACATAATACCCGGGAAATGACGAAAATGTCCTCGAGCATTCCACAACCTCTTTAACAAGCAACTTTAACCAAGCCGCACACGTATATCACGTACGCGTACCGACTACAATGGTCCGTAATAGTTCCTATTATACGAGTGGCACAAAAACCCGTTAACCCGACGGTGCCCTGTGCCACTCTACAATAATTATGAGTTCAAGGATTCTGCCTTGTATTAGCATCCAATTGCATAGCCAGCAGGCTGATTGTGTCCGTTCTATATGCGCACTACTTGCGCTAACTATAGTCCCTTTCACCACTCAATAATTATACATGCAAACATCACAATTAGTTGCATGTAGCCTGTCGCCATGGCTAGCGTCGGCTGATTTATTTTCAGTTCATTAATACAGTTCAAAAATCACAATCATGTTTACATTCAAATTGCTGTATGATACATTGTAATAACAAAAACATTCGATGGAAGCTCTTTTTCAACGATTGAAGTCTTCGTATATAGCTCACTTTCAATAACGCTGCTGTAACTTATATTTTGATTAATGCTGTATTAGTATAGATCTATGATTTCGCTGTATAACTGGCTTTGCCCAGGGTGAAAAACCAGAGATAAAACTCTATGAGGTAAAACTCTGGAAAACCTTGAGGCCTGTCCCTTATACATTGTGTAATTCTTGAATGCATAATTTACTGGTACGTATACATACTCAAAGTGTCTCATCTTCTTTTAAATAAAATATACCATGTATTATGGTCGTTATGACAAAATACCGACCTAGCGCGTGGTGGACGCAGGCTAGAGTGGCCATACCACGGCCACACACGCCCTTTACTCGATTACGTCCTCACTGACATTCTATTTAAATTAACCCTATTCTTCATCCTGATCACTCAAGCATCAAGCTTGTGAGTAAATACAGGCAAATTTTTCCTGCTATACTTCGTACCGCAGGAAAATAAACTTCGCTCGTAAAGATGATCCCGTCGCATCAGTTAATTTGCGACGGGACAATAAAAAAATACCTTTTTTTAACGGGACTGCTGCTGCATAATAATTCACCGCTGGAAATAAAGCCACAGTAGTGATTCACATTAAATATGAAGTCGTATACCAGCATATCTACGACGTTTTTCTTTTCTTCTTTTTTTATTTATTTATTTATTTAAGATTACTTGTCTTTTTTTGTGTTCATCATTATTTGTTTAAATGTTTTGTTATTTTATATTATATAATTTTTTTTGGGGGGGAGGGCACTTTTCACATGCGACATAATTTGTAGTAGGGCCTAATTATTCTAATAAGTGCTTAAATAATTTCCTGGTTGTGCTTTATACATAATAGTAGCACTTATGCCAAACCCTGTGGTGCATAAATAGACTTTTAATTTAAACCTAGATATCTTTATATTTGAGTTTGAATGGGGGTTACGTGGGGTTTTTTTCACCTCCACACATTTCAATTATCTCGTAACGAGTGCCTTTTTTACCTTGCCCTTTTTTACAAGGGCACACGTGAAAAATATGGGAACAATTGAATAGTTCGCATGAGCGCCTGCATTTACGGAGGCCGTCCCTATACCTTTCAGCACAGATGAGGTGAGTGCCCTTTTTCACGTGTACGTACCCCACCTGCACCCAATCAAAATGAACTTGCTACGCCACTGTAGTCGAGTATTTCGTTGTGTGTTCAATAAATGGAGATCTAGTTGTACAAGAAACATGAACCACTGAAATAAAGCACCCTTGGCCAGCCATTTCTCAAGCTATTTCTCCGGGAAGGATATAGGCTCATATAGATTCTACTGTTCGTTTTCCTCCGTACACTTACACTACTACCTCTGTATCTGTAAACAGGAAATTGTTTAGGTTCATCAATTCAATATAGTTTCTGAACTGTAACAGCATTTTTTCTGTTACACAGAGCGTGTCCTGTAGTAGAACTAACTTATGGCAAACCATTCAGCCGGCAGCCCCATGAAATTGTCCCTTGTTCAGTGTAAGCTAATGAGCCACTATATAGTTCTTACCTCTGAGTATTGCCACACGAAATGTCACAGAGCCACGCACGTTTCGTGTGCTACTTCTTGGCTTTGATCTGTTTGACACAGCCATACAAAATTTTCTTCCTTCAAGTACTTACCAGCTAAGGCGAGTGAGTGGTATTGGCACCGACTTACGACCCCGTCAGCGTAAAATTCCTTGACCTCTACTGAACCCCGGCTCCGTACTGCAATAAATTGATGGCGCCCTCGGGTATATGCGAGACACAGGCGTTGAATCGCGAGAGTTGCACTTACCGATTGGTCATAGGCCTACCCACTACTGCCCTCTATTCCCAAGGCCAAATTCAGAACTCGGTTTGTTTTTTGGAGGTCAAATTGCTTTTTTTTGCTCCCCGAAAAAGTGGGTCCAAAACTGTTCCGCCCCAAATTTAATATGAAAAGCAAGGGGGCATATGTATTTTGTTGAGTTTTGTGGGTGGTGTGCGCAGTGGCTGCCCTTTTTTGCAACGTCACTAACTATTTTTTTTTTCATGGGATTCTCTTTTCCTTGGTGGGGGATGGACCCCGTTCCGCCCTTCCCCCCCCCCCCTCCCGGATCAACCGTTATTTAATTCTTGAGCTCTGTATTTGTAGAGTCCGGTTATAACTCAACCTCGTCCCCATGGTGTCAAGCTCCCACCACTACCTGCTCTCTCACCCTGGTATCAGTATCACATTACATGTTATATAAGCAAAATGGAAATGGGAGGAGTGCCAGGTTGAGTGCAAGTAATAATACACAGCCCATCGCCATTTTGAAAATGGACATCCACGCTCCATGCAAAATAGAGCCATTTTAGGACCTAATTTCATCCACATTTCACAGAAATACGAGCTCGCACTCTTCTTCACGGCTTCCAACCTTCTTTTCTTTTTACAAATTATCTAGTTCACGTCCTTCAAAATGCTCTAATACCGGAGAATTTGAGGGAATTCAAATCGTGACTTGGCCGGCGTAGGTAATTTCGGACCGATTTACTGGCCTGCACCCCTACGCACGACACATGCGCACGGCATAATGTGCATACGTAAATGGTTAACTTAAAGTATACCCACAATGCTTTGCGCAGTTTAGATAGACTAGATGCAGGAAAGGCTGCCTTTGTGCGTACTGACTTAGACCGTTGTAGGACCAACATAACCAGGCTTGCCTCGTCTTGCTGACACTTTAATATGCCGTCTATACACGAATTTCAGTTTAGCAGCTGAGCCTCGCGGTGCTAAATCATTGTATGAAATTAAGAACATTTTCTTATTTAACTTCATCACATAAGAGAGCAATGAAGCTCTCGGTTTGATGTTAATTTGAAATTAGTCTAATCGTACGCGTTAGGCTGTCTGACTGTAGGAATGTCATGCCATCTGTTAGGGCTTTTGACTTGGGTTTTGTTTTTGTTTTTTAAATCGCATGCACGCTAGAGAGCCAAAGGAGACTTCGATGAACATTGAGCTACACATTCGTCACCGACACCACGAACTGACACCCTCCTTGGACAAACATCTTTGCAACTCATGTATGATTTGTTTAACAGACTTATGAGTGTATTTTAATGAGTGTAATGATACAGCCTGCCTTTCATTAGATTTAGAGCTACATATTTCTAGTTTTGTCAAACTGTAATTGAAGATCGGACCTCGCGAACTCTCCCATGCCAACGAGAACTGACACGTGCATCATAACGAATAAACGCACAAAACAATTGCCTTCGGCATTCTCTGTTTCGTTCCATAAAAAATATATGAGTGCAAGTTACAATATTCAAAATAAGGCAAACGTTTACCCTAAGACAACGGGTTTACACAGAAATTTCTTTTTATCACAACCAGTGATGATAAATATTTGTATATCAAATATTTTAATAACTTCAAATTCATCTGATGGTTTCAAACCAAGGATGGCGGCGCCCCCATATGATAAAAAAAGCATTTAAGTTTAAAGTAAAAGTGATAGGTGAATTCCGCAGGTCATTTGCCTATCTTCTTATCAGGATTTGCACCTCCCAAAGTGCATCTTTAAATTTCCCATCTCGTGAAAATTCACGAGGTCGTGAAACTCTTTGAAGCGACTGTGTCGTGTGCCGAAGATGACGTCATTGTGGTAGTGGTACGGTGCGGGGACGCCCTCTAGCGACGTCTCGTAGAACTAGAAGCCAAACACGTCAATCTCCTGGCAGAGTTCGAATGCAGCTGACACTATGTACAGTCCTGTCCACAGAGTCAAAATAACAGAGTTAGATTAATAATTGGAAACAAGGATTGGAAACAAGTCCAAATACAATGTATATCAACTTTCAATGGAACAGTAGGGAGAATTTGAGGAAATCTATTGATTATATTCCTGTTTGTAGTTGTGTTTCCGTAGAAGAAAACGAAATCCAATACCGATTGATGGCGTTACTATGCCCAAGGGTGTAACCAAGAAAATATGCAAACAGTCCGTCCGGTGAGCGCAAGAATAACCATTATTATTATTTTTTATTATTGTTGGTTTATTGAAATTGAACTTGTAGCCAATGGCTAAATTGCATCAATTTTTACAATAAAAAACAACATATAAACATTAAAAGACAGGGTAAAATTCCATAACAAAATTGAAATACTTCCTCAGAAAAATAAACATGTTATACGCATACACAAGACACCACAAGTTACTTACAATGTACAACAAAAAAATATTAAGAAAAATACAGAGCAAACAACGCTACACAATATCAAAACTCTACACAGAAATATATATCTAAAACAAACACCCCCCCCCCCCTTAAAAAAGTGAATGGTTGCTAAAATACAACTTAATAAAAAACAATACCCTAAATTGCACTTTGGAATACATGTACATGTATGACTAATTATTGTAGGTGGTTCCTGCCTTGAAAACAAGACAACACATAACAACAAATGTATCAATTACCAGAACCAGCACCCAAAAATATGTATGCACACACCAATACGTTGAAAACACACACCCCCCCCCCCCAATAAAAAAAAAAAAATTTAAATGTGGATACTTACTACATTAAAAACATTACTTACTACACTTAAAAACATTGAGCTAAAAACTCCGAGATACATTGATGGTGAGCAGGCATGGATGTCTTATTGACCAAATTATTTTGCATTTAAGAGGCCAATTAAATAAGGAATAGTACTGTTTGCATATCTGTTGGTCTTACACTTCACTCTAGAGATCTGTTGGCTGTTTCTTAAGTTATATTGCACCTGATCGCCCCGCTGTTTAGGAAGCCAATCTTCGAAACTGACAGATTTTCTTAATTCAGTGGCAAATTTGAGGCATATGTCTTTCCTACGTTGATGAAGGGTGCATAAATGCATTTTGTCAAGAGCCTCTTGATATGACGTGTAACTAGAACCCAAAATAATTCTGAGAGCACGTTTCTGAACTCTTTCCAAATCATCACTTTGTTTCACAGTCAAACCAGCATTCCATACTGGAACAGCATACTCTAACACAGACCGCACATACCCTTTGTAGATTGTCAAAAGATCAGCTGTGGAGAGATTAAATTTCTTTAACATCTTCAACATGTACTGTTTGCCGTTAGCTTTGTGAAGTAATTCAGACACATGCTTATTCCATTTCAGATCATGACTTACTTGGACACCTAAAATTTTGACACAATCAACCACTTGCAATTGCTGTGAACATAACTCAAAAGAAGGTGGTACATTGGGATTCTTCCGGAAGCTTACATTCATAACCGCACATTTGCCTGGATTGAGTTTCGTGACATCATTTTGTCGACATCATTTATTGTGACATCATCCACATATTTCAAAACTGTTATCCCCTGTTGGGACTCATGGAGTGCATCATTTATTTGTGCTAGGAAACAAAGTGGCCCCAATTTGGTTCCCTGAGGAACACCTCCCTGTAAGACTTGGAATTCCGAAAGTTCGTTCTTGTAGCGAACACACTGGGATCTTTTGTGCAAAAAACTGCACACCCAGGGCATCACTGATGGTCTCACACCTAGTTGGAGTAACTTGCCAATGACTATGTTGTGGTCATGGGCGTCGCGAGGGGGGGGGGGGGGGCGGGGGGGGCACTTGCCCCCCCCCCCCGGAAAAGCAACAAAACAAACAAAAAAAGAAGGAAAAGAAAATAAAAAAAAGAAAAGAAAAAGAGGCGAGAAGACAAAGTGGTGTAAATTTAACGAGTTGGGGGGGGGGAATGTCCCTGCCCCCTCTAAAACTGATAAATCGAGAATGTGTTGAGAAATACAAGCATTTTTTGGCAAAAAAAATGTTTGCCCCCCTCTAGAAAAAATCCTGGCGACGCCCATGGTTGTGGTCAATCAAGTCAAAGGCTTTACTGAAGTCAGTTACTACAACATTGCTGTAGCTGTTGCGGGAATCTGCGTGTGCATACAGGGTGTTCATTAACTTGATGAGATAATGTGATGTTGAAGCTCCTTTGCGATTTCCAAATTGGTTGGGATCCAATTTATCCCCAATGTCTGACAGGATCCAATTTGTCACAAATGTCTCGGCCAATTTTGCAAAATGGTCAGTAAGTGACACAGGGCGCAATTTATTCCAAATCGGCGTGTTAGTCTTTGGAAGTGGAACAACAATGGCCTGTTTCCATTGACTAGGAACAATCCCTTGTTGATAAGAACGATTAAGGATGTCGGTTAGAGGCTTGCTGAGCTCATAAGCGAATTCTCGTATTACTTGCGCTGGAATGCCATCAGGACCACCTGCTTTTCTACAGTTGATACGCCGTAGATGGTTGAAGACATCCCATTCTTGTAGAACTGGACAAGGCTCCTGTGCAGGTAAGTATGCTGGTAAGTATTCCATGTCCAAAGCAGGAATGTCGTTTGCAATTGATGTGAAGTGGTTATTTATGCTATCAGCCACTTGTTTAGAACTCGCTGGATCAATTCCTGGTGGTGGGATTATTGAGGGAATGGAATTAGACCCTCTTGTCATTGACCGAATTTCCCGATACCAGGTTGCAGGGTTCGAAGCTTTGACCTTCTGAACTCGATGATGGTAATAGTTCTGCTTTGACTTTAAGATTAGCCGGATGATTTTATTTCTGACTGTCTTCCATTGAACGTTACCTTTTCTGAACAGATTTTGTCGCCTTCTTATCAGGGATTTGATCTCTGATGTCATCCATGGTTTGTCTCTGCAATGCAGTCTCACACAGCGGGATGGAAAATGAAAATCTATTTGCTTGTGTAGTACTGCATACATTGCGTCACACTTAGACTGTACTTCTTGCACACTCCGTACTTCCATCCAGTCATGATGAACAATCCATTGGCCAAACTCTCGAAGTGCCGAATCTCGAATTGGTCGAACCTGTGCAATGTTAATATCATTTTGAACCTTGAGACTTGTCACCGGTTGCCACTGCACTGTGTTGTGGTCACTGCGCCCAAGTGGTGGCAAAATGTTTGGCTTTTGATAGTGACCAGAGATGTTTGTGATGATTTTATCAAAAACAGCTCCCTGGCGGGTCGGCTCTTTAACTATCATTAAACATTCAAATTATTCCATATTAGTTCTGAGGGGGCGTATTCATAAGTCCGACTCCTAACAGGTCATGCGGCGTCGGACTTATGAGGCATAAATTCCGCCTCGTAGGTCCGACGCCTCATAAGTCCGACAATGGCCAAACGCTTTTACGGACTTACAAGGCGTCGGACCTAGGAGGCGTCGGACTTATGAGGCGTATATTGACGAATTGAAGACGTATGGAACTGCACCTCTGGCCTGTATTTGGAGCCTTCTGGTTTAAACATTTCGGGTTCAGTTGGGTCCGAAAATGTTGCTATTTAGCCATGTTATGGAGGGATCCTTTTTCAAAATGGCTACTTCTTCCAATTTGGGAAATATCATTTGTTTTATGGGTGGTCTTCTTTGGGTGAGAATTTCTCCAAAAAGTCACGGGTCAACCCACCAAAAATTGAAAGAAAAATGGAAAACTACATGTTGATCATTATTTTTCTGTGCAGTCTGAACACCTGTTAGAGTTCTGGGTATGTGGATTTTAAATGGATTTACTTGCTGGCATCTCTAAGTGCTACAGTTTACTATCATGCAGTCATCACCGTACCCGTGGATGGCCAGTCGCTTCGTCTGTGAAGCGCCCTCCAGAGTCTCATCATGCCAATGAAATGGCCTGGATTTTGAACAACGGGTTTCATTATTCCTGACGCAAGGCTCACGTTAACAATCCTCTGGACGAACTCGTAGTATCTTCTCTGGCTGAAAGCTGGAACCCACAGCAAGCCACTGCGTGTACACAGTACAAATCCCCTGGTGTACGTGCGTCACACACAAGGAACGGTGCGCGTCAACAAGCTAAATGTCCGGCCCATGGGACGTTGTTGCTAGGTAAAAGGGCGCCCTCTTTCCTTGTCGCACGGAGCCCATAGTCTGGCCCTTTGGGACCAGCAACAAATCTCAGAGTTATCAAAATATTAAAAAGATACCAAATGAAAGACAATGACAGCGACGGCGTCCCTCAATCCATGAGCCAAAAAGCTTCTCTGTATTAAGGTTACATAGAGACCTAGAAGCGGTGAGTGGTAAAAAGGATGAACCTCATCAGGCCAAAAAAAAAAGTCTCCGGTTTCTGGTATGCGCGCGCGTCGCCGTAGCCGTGCGCGTCGGCAAAATGAAAACGTTTTTTTTTCAATGAAAGATGATGTCTCAAAACCGCCAAACTCACTGGTTTGACTGGAATCCTGCTGCTGCACAATTTTAACGTGTTTTTAGATTAGGTTATAATGGTCGAGAATAAGCTTTATGTGACCTCTCTGGACTCCCATATATTTGCACTAAGTTTAGTCGGGCGCCATTTGCAGTCATCAGCACACATTTGAAGCAAAACAATCAGGTAAAAAAAAAAAAAAAGCCGCGTCACCGCACCACTTTTTGGGCAAGCTCCATACCAGAAACCGGAGACTTTTTTTTTGGCCTAAACAGTACGATTTTAGTTCGTATATAGATTTCAATCTGGCTTGAGTCAAGTTGCTTTGCTTACCCTAGAATGTTTTACGATTAATGTACTTCTTCTAAACCCATATTTTAACTTAGTCCAAGCGCACAACATGTCATGTAACTTTAAGAAAGTGTTCTGGATGAATATTCATTCGAGTATGGTAGCTAAGCTTTTGCAGACCTTCGCCTTTTCGTAGCCTTGACTGGAACGGGACAGTTTGACAACGTCATGAAACAATTCCGACCGGTCATTTTGCTCCTTGAACACACCCCTCAGATTCTTGTAGATGATTAGGGCGAGTGCGGCCTCATCAAAACGGTGCGTGTACAGCTTTGGTCCCGCCATGAATTGCCGTATGACGCTCCCATTCGGGGCGATGCAGGCGGGCCTAAGTGCACAGTCCACCCAAGGCTCGATGATGTTCCTTCGCACAAGGGCGCTGTTCACAAACAGCAGGCGGTTGGCCTCGATGCACATGGCGTAGCCGTCGTCCTTCTTGAATTTCTCCCTGTCTATGCCTAGTGCCTCAAACATCTTAGGGTGAGTACGAATCAGCATGTAATCAGGTTTGTACTGAACGACTTCGCTCATGAAGCCGTGTTGCTCTTTAAGCAATGAGAACAGGACCAGTGGATTTCTCTTGAATCGCGCTGACGCGTCGCACCAAAAGACGATGCCAAACTCATTCAACGCCTCCTGCAAATCGTGCAAATGATATTGAGTTCATTTTGAGATACTTCAAACACACTGAGTCTGTATTTTTGTATGATAGTATTACATTATCAATTTGCTTGCGTGCATTCACAGGCAACTGTTGCAGGTCAATGGCCGAGGCAAGGTCATGTCTTTTAACAAATTAAAATGACGGTAATATCTGGTGTCGGTCACTGCGTGGTCATGTGACTTTTCAATGCTACGTTGTGGCCTACAGAGGTGCACGATAAACAAAATGTGTAACATTTCTTCTATGTCGAGATTTGAAACTTAATTTGTCTCGCAACTGAACGCCTGAACAGCTTAAATATGTTCGTGTTTCAGCTCCTAACTTTATGGTTGTCTTTTCCCAAGGTAATCTTAATGTACTTTCACTGGATTTAACTGCTAGATGCTGACCATGGTATTGACCATATATAACATCCCGAAAACTTCCTGTCATTTTTATTCTGAGCGTTTGAAACATTCACCCGAAGGAGATTAAATGCTGGAGACATGTGCCGATAATAACTTTGATTTTACCCACAATCGACATTGAAAAGATTTTTTTTTAGAATTTTTGTCATTTCTTCAATCGTAAAATTATTTACCTGAATGATAAGCGGTTTCCAGGCGAATTTTAAGAGATTCCTGACGTGTGACGGGTACCTGCTGAAATCAAACGGTCGAAGTTCTACATTGCAAAGACGCCGCACCTAAACATGAAACCAAGCAAAAATTGTAGGACTCATTTAATTAGCCTTTTCGAGGTATGGCAGACAAAATAGGGGGCGCTGTTTGATGTGGGTAATGTTTTCTGTATAGACCTTTCTGCGCTTGGTTGGCAAACTGCACTTTTGCCAACCACGGCCTGCAAAACTATGGAAGGTCCAACACTGCAAAAAATGAAGAAGAGTTATTACAGATCACCCAAATATTATTTGATACTTGATAATACAACATTTTCAACAAAGCTACAAAATAATTCCTACATATGCCTTTTTACTACGTGTTGATGGCGTTATGAGGACTTTTTTGGAAAAATATGTTGCCAACCACGGCTTCAATTTATGCGCTTACGGCAGCCCATACAAAATGGCGCCAATGTTTACAAACAAAAGAAAGGCCTATTTCCCCAAACCCATACACAAGCTTACTCGGGTGGGACTCGAACTCACGACCTCCTGCAGACGTCTTACCACTCAACCATCGAGCTTGGCTGGTCGGCTGGTTGGTTCGAATATCATATAGCAACGGGTAATGCAATCAATTACTTTTTGGTGTGATGGAACCTTTTTTGCGATTCGCTTGAACAAACAAAAATCGCATAATGCCAGATATAGATAAATGGATTAATATTCTAACCTCTTTGATACCACTTGGAGTCAGGCCCAGGTCGTACATTACGATTCTTGTGTTTGGCAGGAATTCCTGCACGCTCCCGATCATTCCCTTCGATTCCTTCAAATGATTCTGCGATGTCGCAGTCACTATCACCATCCGATTCATCAGCTCTTTTGGCTCGGCAGTCTCTAAATCGATCATGGTCCCACCGACTCCAACTACGTCGCTTCTTTCGTGCACTGTTTCTTCTTCAGCGTCGATTTTTGCGATGCCGGTGCCAATTTGTTGGACGGGTTGACGTTCGAATAATGTTCCGTTTCTGGTCATAACATCTGGGGGATTGACGTCATCGTTGATGTAGCCCAATGCAATCTTCACGTATTCACTGACGCGCCCTAACAAGAAAAAAAAATTATATGCTTAAACAATTTCCACCTTTACCGAGTACTTATTACCGATTGGCCTAATGGGAAATTATACTTATAAACCGTTCATTTTCTTAAAGCTATGATGTTTGGGGTAGAAAACCTTATGACAACAAACCCTTGTTTCCGTGATCGGCATGATCTGAAACCACTGTTCGATGGGGTTGTGCCCCCACCCCCTCCACCACACAACACCCACCCCTTTAAAAAGAAAGAGAGAGCGCGGAGAAAAGGGGAAAACAGAAAAAGGGCTGATGCAAATGAAATGTGTGTACATTGCACAATAGAAACTGCCAGCAAGGTGGCAAAAACGCAGCTACGCGTGGAGTACATTTTAACAAGAAAAGCACCCGGCGCCAGATGAGGTCCAACCCTATCCCCCCCCCCCCCCCGCTCTTTTTTTGCCAAGACGGGTCTAAAAAATACTCGAGAGCCCTCCCCAGATGTTAATGAAGTTTGGGATTTGTAAGTTACTGGTAGTTTTGGGGCTGGGACAGTATTAGGCCTGAAGCTGGGACAAGTAAGTTTTTTAGGGGTGCATGACATTTGGGCAATTGTTATTTTTTGTACTTGTTTACTTCTATTTTATTTGTATGTATTGATAAGTACTGTGAACTAGATTTATTTTTTTGTCTCGACTTGATGCAATCTGTGATAGCCACATCTTGTCTTTAGAAACAAATAAACCATTTTATATTAAAAATATTAATAATAAATTACTCTAAATGCTATAATAGGGCGACTTTCAGATAGACTTGTGCACGAACCTCAACTGTAACCTAACCCAAGTTTACCTTATTTATCTTTTCTCCACGAAATTATGTGTTTTTACTAATTGGACCACGAGGAATCGATCTAAAATAGTTTGCGACAGGAAAATTCCTTGTTCTAAGGGTCGTTTTAGCAATAGGGTGACACCAAATTGTCGCCCCAATAAGGCGTGTCGTCCTAACCGAGACGCGAATTGAAAAAAACTGTCGCTTAAGACAAAAAGGCCTTGCGGGGGGGGGTGCACTACCGGAAACATAATTGTACCGTACGTACCTTGATGAACTCCGATGTAGAACACCATTGTTAGGACGCAGATGACGAGTAGTGTGGTCATCCTCGCTTTGTTCGTGAACATCATGACTTCGGGTCAACAGACAGAAACTGACTAAACAAAATAGATATGCACAACTCGTCATACATTAGGCACCATAAAAATTGCGCGGGCACCTGATACGTATGCGCGGCTCGGGAAAGTTGCCTGTTCATCACTATTTTGTGTTGTTATTGCACATTTACCACGGTAAGTCCGATGAAATAACCATGCAATGCATGGCGTTTTAACAAGCAACTTCAACCAAGCCGCACACGTATATCCCGTACGCGTACCGATTACAATGGTCCGTAATAGTTACCATTATACGAGTGGCACAAAAACCCGTTAACTCGACGGTGCCCTGTGCCACTCTACAATAATTATGAGTTCAAGGATTCTGCCTTGTATTAGCATCCAATTGCATAGCCAGCAGGCTGATTGTTTCACTCGTAAAGATGATCCCGTCGCATCAGTTAATTTGCGACGGGACAATAAAAAAAATACTTATTTTTTACGGGACTGCTGCTGCATAATAATTCACCGCTGGAAATAAGCCACAGGAATATGAAGTCGTATACCAGCATATCTACAACGTTTTTCTTTTCTTCTTTTTTTATTTATTTATTTATTTATTTTAGATGTTTTTTGTTTGTTTGTTATTATTTGTTTTAATTTTTTGTTATTTTATATTATATATATATTTTTTTTGGGGGGGGGCGCTTTTCACATGCGACATAATTTGTAGTAGGGCCTAATTATTCTCATAAGTGCTTAAATAATTTCCTGGTTGTGCTTTAGATGGTATTAATATACACAATAGTGGCACTCATGCCAAATCCCGTGGTGCATCAATAGAGTCTTAATTTAAACATACACATCTTTATATTTGAGTTTGAATGGGGGTTAGGTGGGGGGTTTTCACCTCCAAACTCATCAATTATTTCGTAACGAGTGCCTTTTTACGACTGCCCTTTTTCACACGGGCACACGTGAGAAATATGGGCACAAGTGAATAGTCTTTCATGAGCGCCTGCATTTACGGAGGCCGTCCCTATACCTTTCAGCACGGATGAGGCGAGTGCCCTTTTTCACGTGTACGTACTACCCACCTCCACCCAAACAAAATGACCTTGTGTTCAGTAAATGGAGATCTAGTTGTACAAGAAACATGAACCACTGAAATGAAGCACCCTTGGCTAGAGCCATTTCTCCAGGTATATCTCCGGGAAGGATATAGCCTCATATGGTCCCATGTCCTGCCATTTATTTTTGTGAGAAAACCTTCCAAAACGGATTGCTAATGGTTGACGTATCTGTCAGGCGCGGATCCATGGGGGGCGCAACCCCCCCCCCCCCCACAGCTATGTCCCCAAAAAATAGAAATTCCTTAAAAATAATCCGAAAAGCCCCCTGCTCTGACACCCAAAAAAATACGGGCAGAGCCAGCTTGGTAAGGAGGTATTTGCAAAGTGTTTTGTAATATAGTGTTAATAATCGTCATATTCCAAAAAAAAAAAATTCTGATGAACCCCCCCCCCCTGCGAAATATCCTGGATCCGCCCCTGTCCGTACATTCTAGTAACCGACATACGTCGCTCTGAGTAGCGTATTTAACCGCCTTGATTTTTTTTAACGCTTACAAAGTGAAAAGCTTTCGCTTGTGAAGACGATTGCTTGTGAAATGCATCCTTGATTTTGTGTGGAATTCCCTAGATTGTGTGTGGAATTCCCTAAAAGCCATTGGTGGATGAGAATGGTGAAAACGAGCCTTCGAAATGAACGAAAAGGAACGTGGATGGGCCTGGTTCTGCAATAGATTCATATGCAATTGGTATTCAAAAGAAATATAATTTCAGATACTGCATAAGAGTGCACAGTAGATTCTACTGTTCGTTTTCCTCTGTACACGTACACTACTACCTCTGTATCTGTATACAGGAAATTGTTTCGGTTCATCAATTCAATATAGTTTCTGACCTGTAACAGCAATTTTTCTGTTACACAATACGTGTCCTGTAGTAGAACCAACTTATGGCAAACCATTCAGCCGGCAGCCCCATGAAATGAGCCCTTGTTCAATGTAAGCTAATGAGCATGGGCGTCGCGAGGGGGGGGGGGGCAAGGGGGGGAAAGGGGGGCACTTCCCCCCCCCCCGGAAAAGCAACCAAACAAAAAAAAAAAGGAAGAAAAAGAAAAGAAAAAGAAAAGAAAAGAAAAGAAAAGAAAAGAAAAAGAGGCGCGAAGACAAAGTGGTGTGAATTTAATGAGTTCGGGGGGGGGGGGGCAAAATGATGTCCCTGCCCCCCCCCCTTAAAACTGATAAATCGAGAATGTGTTGAGAAATACAAGCATTTTTTGGCCAAAAAAAGTTTTGCCCCCCTCTAGAAAAAATCCTGGCGACGCCCATGCTAATGAGCCACTATGTAGTTCCTACCTATTGCCACACGACATGTCACAGAGCAACGCACGTTTCGTGTGCTACTTCATGATGGCTTTGATCTGTTGACACAGCCATACAAAATTCTCTTCCTTCAAGTACTTACCAGCTAAGGCGAGTGAGTGGTATTGGCACTGACTTACGACCCCGTCAGCGTAAAATTCCTTGACCTCTACTGAACCCCGGCTCCGTACTGCAATAAATTGGTGGCGCCCTCGGGTATATGCGAGACACGTACTGGCGTTGAATCGCGAGAGTTGCACTTACCGATTGGTCATAGGCCTACCCACTGCTGTCCTCTATTCCCAAGGCCAAATCCAGATCTCAATTTGATTTTTGGAGGTCCAATTGCTTTTTTGTTCCTCGAAAAAGTGGGTCCAAAACTGTTCCCCCCAAATTTAATATGAAAAGCAAGGGGGCATATGTATTGCTTTTGTTGAGTTTTGTGGGTGGTGTGCGCAGTGGCTGCCCTTTTTGTTTTGCGACGTCACTAAAAAAAATTTTTTTTTAATGAGATTCTCTTTTTCTTAGGGGGGATGGACCCCGTTGCCCCCCCCCCCCCGATCAACCGTTGTATAGTCCTCGAGCTCTGTGTTTGTAGAGTTCCGTTATAACTCAACCTCGTTCCCATGGTGTCAAGCTCCCACCACGTACTACCTGCTCTCTCACCCTGGTATCAGTATCAGATTACATTTTATATAAGCAAAATGGAAATGGGAGGAGTGCGAGGTTGAGTGCAAGTAATAATACAGAGCCCATCGCCATTTTGAAAATGGACGCCTACGCTCCATGCAAAATAGAGCCATTTTAGGACCTAATTTCATCCACATTTCACAGAAATACGAGCTCGCACTCCTCTTCACGGCTTCCAACCTTCTTTTGTTTTTACAAATTATCAAGTTCACGTCCTTCAAAATGCTCTAATACCGGAGAATTTGAGGGAATTCAAATCGTGACTTGGCCGGCGTAGGTAATTTCGGACCGATTTACTGGCCTGCACCCCTACGCACGACACATGCGCACGGTATAAATGTGCATACGTAAATGGGTAACTTAAAGTATACCCACAATGCTTTGCGCAGTTTAGATAGACTAGACGCAGGACAGACTGCCTTTGTGCGTACTGACTTAGACCGGTGTGGGACAAACATAACCAGGCTTGCCTCGTCTTGCTGACACTCTAATATGCCGTCTATACACGAATTTCAGTTTAGCAGCCCAGCTAACGAGCCTCGCGGTGCTAAATCATTGTATGAAATTAAGGACATTTTCTTATTTAACTTCATCACATAAGAGAGCAATGAAGCCCTCGGTTTTGATGTTAATTTGAAATTAGTCTAATCGTACGCGTTAGGCTGTCTGGCTGTAGGATTGTCATGCCATCTCTGAGGGCTTTTGACTTGCGTCTCGTCTTATTTGTTAAAATCGCATGCACGCTAGAGAGCCAAAGGAGACTTCGATCAACATTGAGCTACACAATTTCTCCTTGGACAAACATCTTTGCAACTTATGCATGATTTGTTTAACAGACTTATGAGTGTATTTTAATGAGTGTAATGATACAGCCTGCCTTTCATTAGATTTAGAGCTACATATTGCTAGTTTTGTCAGACTGTAATTGAAGATCGGACCTCGCGAACTCTACCATGCCAACGATAACTGACACGTGCATCATAACGAATAAACGCACAAAACAATTGCCTTCGGCATTCTCTGTTTCGTTCCATACAAAATATATGAGTGCAAGTTACAATATTCAAAATAAGGCAAACGTTTACCCGAAGACAACGGGTTTACACAGAAATTTCTTTTTATTACAACCAGTGATGATAAATACATGTATATCAAATATTTTAATAACTTCAAATTCATCCGATGGTTTGAACCCAAGGATGGCGGCGCCCCCATATGATAAAAAAGGCATTTAAGTTTAAGGTAAAAGTGATAGGTGAATTCCGCAGGTCATTTGCCTATCTTCTTATCAGGATTTGCAACTCCCAAAGTGCATCTTTAAAATTCCCATCTCGTGAAAATTCACGAGGTCCTGAAACTCTTTGAAGCGACTGTGTCGTGTGCCGAAGATGATGTCATTGTGGTAGTGGTACGGTGCGGGGACGCCCTCCAGTGACGTCTCGTAGTACCAGAAGCCAAACACGTCAATCTCCTCGCAGAGTTCGAATGCAGCTGACACCATGTACAGTCCTGTCCACAGAGTCAAAATAACAGAGTTAGATAAATAATTGGAAACAAGGATTGGAAACAAGTCCAAATACAATGTATATCAACTTTCAATGGAACAGTAGGGAGAATTTGAGGAAATGTATTGAGATATTAGTAGTTGACGAATTGAAGACGTATGGATCTGCACCTCTGGCCTGTATTTGGAGCCTTCTGGTTTAAACATTTCGGGTTCAGTTGGGTCCGAAAATGTTGCTATTTAGCCATGTTATGGAGGGATCCTTTTTTCAAAATGGCTACTCCTTCAATTTGGGAAATATCATTCGTTTTAGTGGTGGTCTTCTTTGGGTGAGAATTTCTCCAAAAAAGTCATGGGTCAACCCACCAAAAATTGAAAGGAAAATGGAAAACTACATGTTGATTGTTGATCATTATATTTCTGTGCAGTCTGAACACCTGTTAGAGTTCTGGGTATGTGGATTTATCACTGGTATAATCAATTGATTTACTTGCTGGCACCTCTAAGTGCTACAGTTTACTATTATGCAGTCATCACCGTACCCGTGGATGGCCAGTCGCTTCGTCTGTGAAGCGCCCTCCAGAGTCTCATCATGCCAATGAAATGGCCTGGATTTTGAACAACGGGTTTCATTATTCCTGACGCAAGGCTGACGTTGACAATCCTCTGGACGAACTCGTAGTATCCTCTCTGGCTGAAAGCTGGAACCCACAGCAAGCTGCCCTGAAACTGCCGCTGGAGGGCGTCAAATGCTGCTATGCTTTCCTTTCCAACTAAGGGGTCCTCTCTGGGAATAAAGGAATAAGTGAAAGGAAGAAACACCATTTACAAAGATGTTGGTGATGTTTTTGTTTACATCGTCCCCTTGACGAATAAGAACCAAATTGTAAAGTTTCTGTTTAAAAGCGCGTATAGGCATACACTCGACATTATGATAATCCTTTCTGGCTATACATGTCAGCGTCAAACAACAAAAGATCATAATGAAAATAATCACAACTTTAAAACATTTTCAAACTTTTGTTCTGCGCATGCGCATTAAATCTGTCATTTTGTTACAAGTGTCACGTGACGCGCTTCCGATCAATTATGATTTGGAACGAGCGAAATATCCGAAGATCCTGGCCAACTTTTTTTCCGTATCCGAAAACTCTCTGTGCCTACCCCTTGCTGAGTATGAATTGGTTGACAGTGGTGAAATTTGTCTTAGTTCCTACGTCATCCTCATAACCTTTCACTGGGGCAAGATTAAACCTGTTATGGTAAAGGAACAATAAAGAAAGCAACAATTGTTATGTGGAGATTAATTCGTATCAAACGGTAGTATCAAACGGGAGTTCTGTCCAAATAAAATTGATTTTCTATTATTATTATTTATTTAAAAATGCAACTTAAATTATTGTATTGTACCCGATCCCGTAAGCTCGGTAGGCGAGTGTTCAAGACGTCTGCACTTGGTATAACGCAGGAGGTCGTGGGTTCGAGTCTCACTCGAGAGATTTTTTTCCCCCAACTTTCACTCTGGAGGTAACTCACTGATACAGTGTTTATACGTCGGTTAAGGGTAAAACTTAACTTGAATTACATCACATTTCTATGCAAAACTCCATCTTATGAAAAGAATTATACCTGAAAATGAAGTCCGCTTTGTCGATTTCTGCACCACATCCAGAGCCCGATAGTACGCCACTTGAGCCCACGACACTACAGCGCCTATATCGATCATGTGGCTCAAATATTGTTTTCTGTTTAAAGAAGAAATCGTGTCAGGAAACTTTGTTTTATAAGACTCAAGAAACAGACTCCAACGATTTGAATTCAACATCTACATAACAAGTGCACCAAGTACCAGAAAGGGAAGACAAATCAGAATATTTCCTTTTAAAAATATATGGGAGCTTGGTGAGATTTATTTCAATAGTCATAGATCAAACAAGGAGAAAGTAAATAATTCTACAGGAAACATTTTTTGTAATTAACCTTGCCCGTTGAAAGAAAAAGTCCCTAAATAAACATAAATTCTTGTTTTCCTTTTTCCTTCAGTAACATTTCAATTAGTGATCAGCATTCGTTGTAACTCGGTTGGCTATCGTAGTTTCTGCACATTTTGGTAGGAGGAAAAATACTCACAACTCTCCAAGGTGTTCGAGACGCACATCATAGCATATTTCGTCATCTTTAATTTTCTTTTCAATTTTTGGGGACCATCCGAAGATGATCGCCATTTTGAAAAACGGTGCCAACACTCCATTGAGAAATAGAGAGCTTTTAGGGCCCAAATTTCACAGAATTACAAGCTCACGGTCCTGCGCCCGGCTTCGACCCTTATTTTTCACAAATCCTTAAGTTCATGGCCCAAAATATAATGTTCAAATACTTAAGAATTTGAGGACACGCAAATCGTGGTTTGGATGGCATAGGCAATTTCGGACCGATGTACTGGTCAACAACCATGTAGTTTTAATGCATTTTGGATCGGGGACATTTTACGTATTTACTACAGAGGACAGTGTTTTTAAGACTTTCTGAGACTCGACTTACATCAGGAAGAAGCTTGTGGAAACTTTCTGTCATCGTTACGGGGTCCCCTAGCTGATAAAATGGCAGTTGGGTTCCAATTGGTGTGTTTTGCTTTGTGAGGTAGAGAGCTCTTCTGGCGCTCATCGTGCCTGACGCTGCCAAGATGTCCTTTCTGTTCGTAAGACAAACACGTGGACTAAACCAAGCCGGATCGGACCGGAACAAAAGTGACTTGAATCCAACTAGCTTCAATTGTGTTAAAATCAGCTATTATAAGGAGCACATTATGCAAAGTCAAACATAACTGATATTACATTTCATCCGCACGGGTACGGGGGCGCTGTGTTTAAGAGGTGGGTTCGCGCCACTGAACTCCACGTGCAAAATCTGGTTAGAACATTGACTGTTTGAAGTGACGTCGCCGTCCGCCATATTGCCATGCCAATAACAAAGTTATTGATATTATTGATATAACAAAACAAATAGGAAAAAATGCATTGAAAAGAAGTTCATACACTTTGGATCTTTTGGATTTATCTATAGACTTGTTCCTTCCAACTTACTGTACCGGCAACCAGCGCAAGGCGATCAGTTAAAGAGCACTCTATGGTCAATGGACTATCAAGATTGTATACGTTGAGATCAAATGTTGGTTGTCGATCTGCCGGGGTTTTTTTTGCTGGACTTCAAAAGAGGCGGGAATCGGTTGGATTCTCTTCAGGCAGAATCGCGAGCGCCTCCTTATCATTGCGTACAAGAAAAGCTACTATGATGCTCACATTAGTTTTATATGACGGCACAAAAAGAGGGTGGTATTTGGTTTTGGGAAACTCTTTTACATTTGGAATGAGCCCCATCAAATAATGAGGTCGACATTGTACATTAGGTCATTTTACTAACATCCCTACCTGAATCTGTCAACATTGGCGTCATCTCTGGACCAAGTTTGATTGATACGTTTCCTCCGAAGAAGCCTCAGGAATTCGTAACCTTTCTTCGGATAATTGGGGGCGTATTTGTTGACAAAGTGCCTGCAATGAAATGAAATGGACACACAGTAAATTCGAAACATTAAATGGACATAGGATCATTTGCTTTTTGTGATTTGTTTGAAGCAACAAAATTGCTCAAAGTTCACTTTACAAAGTCCTTGGTCAGATTTTTGTGCAAATGCTTTTTACGTTTGACGCAACAAAATTGCTTAAAGTGCACTCTACAAAATCCCAAAACCATTTGGGGCATAATATCATTCGGTGTACACTAAGTCGACGTCCTAGTGGGTTTAACGTTGACGTCTCAATCGATATTAAAACGTATAACCATTAACCACAGGCACACTTTTCGTAATTTGAGGCGGAATCAATTCATAGGAGTAACAGTCGTTTCTTCATATTTCAAGCAGCAGCCATCATACATGTCTTTTTTATTTGATAAGCAACAGCACAAAATATATCAATGTCTTCTCATATCCATGGGGAACCAAAACGCTGTACCTCCGAGATGGCTGTCACGCAAAGGGGCTATTTTTTGTTAAACAGGCATACCTGATGTGGTCTTTCAATGTTAGTGCCGGTTGAGTGACTTTGCCAGCGTTTGCCTTCACCTACAAATTGGTAGAATAATAGGCATTAGCGGACATCTTTTGTTATTTTATTTCAGTAACAATGGATGCACAAAAGGTTCACTCGTTCACATCTCAGCAAAACAATGGCATTGCCCTCTAAGATGGCTGCTACGCGTATGTTCAAATGGATCATCCTCATCATCCCCATCATCCCCATCATCCCCATCATCCCCATCATCCCCATCATCCCCATCATCTTCGTCATCATCATCATCATCATCCCCACCATCCCCATCATCATTATCAGTCGACTACATGCACAGCAAACGGCCACAAGTTTTCCCCATTCATCTCTGTTTTGTGCGACTGAGTCTCCAGATTTCTAGTGGGGAGCCTGGAGACCAGATAATCCTGTGACAATAATCTAGCGATGTACTTTGGGTAAATAAGGCGCTGATGACCTTGTCTGCGTTGGCCATGAGATGGGGATTATACAGAGCATATATAGATGTTAACTGGCTCGTCGATAGGCTTCCGACGGATGTGACCAACCCATCCGAGTTAAATGGATATTGAAATCTAATTCCTGTAAGCATCTTTACAACATTCAAGATTTTGAAAGATTCATGTAGGCCTGCTTAGTTTTGAGCCAGAAACTACGCATTGATCGAACACTCACACAGATATTGATTTATTGCTGTTCAAGTTAATTTGCGTAGCTGCTGAACAAATTGTTGCCTAAGTCCTACGTAAGGGGTAGGTTATGAATTGTTTCATGAAATCGGAGATTGAGGATGACTGTTACTAACTTACCTTAATCGTGGTAAGTGTTGTGCTCACTGGTTCGACTGAAAGGCTTTCAACTGGTTCACTAGTGGAGGTACTGATAAGTGGAAAAGGATTTGACGCATTTTATTGTCAGTATAAGGTCTATCACAAACCGGTGTTATTTAATTATAGGTTATAATTATCGCTGCTGACGCTACATACGATGGCTTCAACATTATTGCAGGCTGTTACAACTGATAATGTAGTAACCAACGGATACTGTATCACCAACTGATAATGTCACACACATTAACCAATACTGTATCACTAACCGATAATGTAACAAAAATTGACTGAGTGTAGTAAAAGATTCGCAGAATGTTCCTATGGATAAATATAAGCATACGACCTGGCTCATTTTGTTGGGCTAAATCAACTTATTGTTTCCCTTATTGCTCGAGATGATGATTCACTCCCTATACCACACAGCTTGGACGAGTTATGTGTTGTTTACGTTAGACCCAAATTGGTCTTACTTCAATGTGCTTACCTTTGATTTCTTCCAACCTCTAAAATTGACATGAGTTCTATTCCCAAGGAGAAATATTCTGGCAACTCAGGATAAAAAAGAAAAACACCAAAAAGGAATAAGCTTTAACTTACAAATCGTCAACTTTGGTGTTCCGTCCCTGGCCCTCCAGTGATGTCTGACCGGATATTCCAAGGTACAAGGCTGCAGTTGACAATACGGTCACACACGCAATCAGGGACCGAATCATGTACTTGAATTTCAGCCTCATGATCACAACGGATGTGATTGACAGTCTCAAATGCACACAAGCTGCGCTACATCTGCATATTTGTTAAATCTGATCTTTTCTGTAGATTATAGGCGGATTTTCAAATTACCCGTCACGCCGAGGCACTCAGAGCTTAGCCACTGTATGACATTGGAGACTTGCTACCAAAAAAAGGAACACTATAATAAAGCCCGCGGTTACATTGCTCCCTCTTCTGCATGCTGCTCGTCAACACGTTTGTCAGTGTATTCTAGCTCATTGTTTTCAATATTTCTGTTTTTAAGCATCTGTTCGTGCCGTAACACGATCAATCACAGGCATTTATCATTTATTGATTAAACCTCCGTGCTTTATTCATTTACTATGGCTCTTTTCCCTTGATTCGTTAATCGATACCCGATGCAGTGTGTTACAACATTTTGTCACGCTGCACTGACGGTAACACAATTTCATAGACTTTGACCGAGTCTATCACCTCTTTGATGTTCACAGTGACCCTAGCAGGGGGGGGGGGGGGGCAGCTCGGGGGGCTTTAGCCCCCCCCCCCCCCCCCACCCCCGGTTGAAGATTTTCTCTTTTTTGTATTTTTTTGTCCCACGATTTGACCGTGGTGATATGTATGTGGCCTATTTTTGAGCAGTATAGTAGGGGTGAAAATGGCACCACCAACGTCAAAATAGTCTCCCCCCCCCCCCCCAAAAAAAAAAAACAATTTGGGTTGTTCACCCTCATTTCATGTATATTTAGGCTTAGCTGAATTTAGCTGATTTCACATTATTTACAAACAAGTGAAAAAGTAAAAACAAAAGTTAAATGTTTTCAGGCAATGGGATTTGTTTCTTCAGGGTTTGTTACATTTCTGGATTTATTTTAATTTATAATCATGAAGGTTCAATTATTGTTTACACTGGAGTGAGTAAATTGTTTATTTTCTTGTCAGAATAATACTTTTTCTAAATTCTCAAATATGATTTTCTTTTCTGAACTATTCTAAAGTACTGTATAGTAATATCATAACATGTCTTCTAATGTATACGTTCCTTTTTGGATTGCAAACACAAATATTTGATAAAACATACATTTTGTTTAGTCATCTCGATTATAATTATAAACGTTAGGTTTCCGGAGAAAATGATTTCCACTTGGATAATGGTGTTTTCATTTCATAATGCTTTTTTATTTCTAACTACTTTAAATTATTTTTAATTTCAATACATTTAAAAAGGATAATATATGTAAGTATATTTGTACAGAAAACCCAGAAAACCACAGCATTAAACTATTGCTACTTTCCACTATTTAAGCTTCACACAAATATTCTCTTACATTTAGCCTTCGTGTTAGTTGCGTATGGCGCGCAAATTCATATTTAATCCCGAAATATAGAGACATCTCTATTTTAATATAGAGATCTCTATTTTTAGACGTGCAAAATTGAATTTAAATCCCAAAATAGTTCTATTTCTTATGGCGATAGCTTCTAAAAACAGATAATTTGTTTCCAGTCGTCGTGTTCAGCAAGTCGTATGACGGAATGTTTGGTAAGATTTAAAGAAATTTCTACACTTTGAGGATTCCAATTCGCGTCTTTAAAATGCTGTTACAGTGTCGTTATATCAGTTTGGCCCCTTATTGCCTTTCCAAAATGAAGTGTACTTCGGTTATGACTCTTCAGTTGACACAACGTGTAAGACCGTAAAAAGAATGAAGATATCTCTATTTGACAAATAAAGATTGTGTCCTCTGTTTTGGAGCTAGGCGGAACGTTCCCACACTTATGAACAAGCCGTGACGGCCTTTCGCCTCAGGGTCACACATTGACATTTTGTCCAACCGAGGTGGGCAATTCGAGCCATTGATAATGCAGTGCACCACCAAGAGTTTGCCTTGGAGAGTTCGTTTTTCCCAGTGCACTGTGGGAGATGGTCGACAAATTCGCAGCGCAGGTACATTTGAAATTGTTAGTTTTTTCCGGTCAGTAGTTTCGTAAGCGTATGGTTCGAGTATATGTTTGCTCTTTTCTTTTCTTTTTATCGATATGGTGTATTTTTGTAAGGCAGCAGAACGCTATGCCCCAAACAAGTTAGCTTAAGATGTCGTCTGACACTCGTTCAAATGGGCCATGTTTTGTCGACCGTAAAGTAGCAAAATTTACACTCCTTGGCAAACTCTTGGTGGCGCACTGCATTGCGAATCGCCCGCATTGTCAGTATTTATGAGCAAAAAAAAGTTGTAAAAAAAATGTGCCTTTATACCTACAGGCCTACACACAGAATGACGAGTTTTCTCCTGCTTAGTGTCCTAAAGAGTTCTATAAAATTCGAAATTTTGTGTCCCACAATTGGAGATTTTTAGTATTTACAAAGAGAACAGCATAATTATACCAACCTCAGACACCCAACTGAACCCTAAAGCTGCGTTCGTATTATGTACGAAGTCACTACGAGTAATTATTGTTAATATTCCAGTGGTTAATGTACAATGCGCCCGCACTAGGATTACTTTTGGCTCGCGGAAAGTCATTCGGTACATAAAACTAATAATGTAATGCTAACGCGATCTAGTTGGCCCTGTAAAACTTACCGCAGACGCACTGTAAAACTTACTATCGACAGACAACACTTGACAAATTAGGAAGCCTTGTTTACCGGCTGTCCGCTTTGGACTTAATTTGGTTAAATAGACAACAGTTCTATAGTTGACAACAGTCTCCGTTAGTTGTAATCCCAAAAAAATCTCCAGTGCGAATGAATACGGCTCTTAATGATCATTTCAGTTCACCAGTGTTTTTGCTTTAAGACATCAATATTGCGCGCGCGTTCGAATCTTCGGCGGAACACATAGAGCTATATTAAATATAGCTCTATGGTGGAACATCATCACAATGCATTTCTTCTAGCTGTTTCACAGCAACACTCTGTTTTGTGGTACCGACCTGTCCAACTGTCGTTATACAATGATCAACTTGCTCCTATTTTTACATTAAATAAGCGCGGTTTATTTTAGTGTTTTAGTTTTCTTCTCTCCCTCTCTCATCTTCGTTCTATTGTTTTAAGTCTTGAGTTTCACCTTCTCGTAATGCGCGGTGATCATCTTTGTGATTTCCTCAAGGAAGACCTTTCTGTTTTGAACCTGTTCCTCCGTTTCTCCTACCGACTTGACAACCTTGTCTGTGTGGTAATCTTGGAGAGCTCCCAACAGCAGCTTCTTTCGTTGTTTCAATGTGGGCTTGTCATTTCTGCCCTCAGTCTCCTTCAGTTGGTCGAGGTGAGTCTTGGTGAACTTGATGGAGCTATTCCGGGATGGATGGTGGTCGAGAAGGTACTTTACGAGGCTGACTGCACTTGTATTGGCCTTTTTGAGAGCTGTGATCTCATCTTTTAGTGTATCTAGAACCTGCCAGTGATCACAGAAGAGGGATTTTAAAACAATCTTGAAGTTTCCAGGAGGCTTTGTGTGAGTGTGTGAATGTTGTAGATGTACACGTTCTACTGAATAATTCTGGCATGTTTTGCTATACCTGCTTATGAAGTCAGGTTGGTAAATGGGCACATTTAACCGATATGTGTTGCAGTAGCTTGTTCCATTTTTTTGTCTTAAAAGAGTGCTGAAATGTATCTGTGCTTTATAAAAAAAAAATATGCCATTCACCTTTTGTTTTATTTCCTGTTGTGCGGCTTCGTCTCTCCATCTTTCCTCATCCTGGATCTTCTTGAATCCCACTACACACTGCGTGTACCACTTGTGACCAATGAAGGTCCTGGGCTTAGCTGCCTCAACCAGCTCCAAGCAGCGCTTGTAATACACCTTGGTCTTGGTTTTTATGAGCAAGATTTTCTCGTTGATTAGGCCGAGATAACTTAAGGCGGCTGCTTCTTGCTCCAAGTTTAGCTCAGCTGCCTGAAGTGATGGGGAACATGACGGTTGTAACAAACATTTTTTTAACATAGAAACCAGATCTGTTAAGTATACAATATGTTGTTGTTATGCGCCTATCAATTGTTTCCCCCCCCCTCCCCCCCCCCCTGGCTGCCCCTCCCAAGACGTGGGAATTGTCACTTTTGAAGTGACAAAATCACTACCTCTTGTGCAAAATTTAAGTGACAATCCCCGACCATGCCCCGACATACATACGAGGGGCTCATTAGTGATTGCCTTTCCATGTAGTACGCCAATGTTAACAATGCAATTTGAGTGACCAAAATCCCCACCCTTGGGCATGAAAAACATGACCAAATCCCAACATCGGACCTGGGGCAGGGGGGGTGGGGAAAATATTTGATAGCCGCATTATAGGTCAATCGTCCCTGCACCGGGGTGAAATCACAATCCGGTGTGCTAATGGCTTTTGCCTAGAAGGCGTGCGACCTAATTGGTTAGCGTGTACTGCAATATCTGTTGTGACAGATAGAGTCGGACATGTGCTTTAGTGACGGTCTTAATTTTGGTCTGACCATGCAGCGCGAGGTACGCAACCTCGTCCCCAGAGCTTATTTATTTTCAACCTCGTTTCCAATAGTAAGCCCTTGAATGGGAACCCGCTTCCTGTATCGTCATTCGATACCCATCATACCGCAATTAGCAGGTAATTGATTTATATCTTGCACTTGGCACCAGACTTTTCCTCATTAGCATACGTATCCAATTTTTTGGATATGCAAATTATCTAATACCAGGCAGAGAGGGCAGGTAGTGGTGGGAACGTACTGCTCGACACCCTGGGAATAAGGGTTTTTGGCTACGTACGAGTCTCTGTAAGCAGTGCTTCTTTTCAAATATTTCTGAATTCGACCTGCTTGCCCAAATAAGGGTAGTCTGCGTATCAGACATAAACGTGGGCAAAGCCACGGATTAACGTTTGATCATAAGGCTTTTATGTGATTTTATATGGAGTGGTCTTTAAAGACTGTGACGTCATTTCGATCAGAACTGTGGACTATGCCGTGGATTGGTCAAATCGGATGCTATGTCCTTTTCTACCACAACAATACGGAAGACCAGATAGAAGGCGCCCGCTACATGGTCAGAATCAGTCTCTTTTGCATAATTAATTTCCGAATCTGCTCACATGTTACAGACCCTTGCTGTGCAAGCGGATATTCCTCAATGATGCTTGTTTTTAAGTAACTCCCCTACATACCTTGAGAGTAGCTTGTTTGAACCAGTCCACCGCATCCCAGACCATGTCCATGTTCCAAACCTCCTCGTCCAACAGATTCACAAGCATTGCCTCTCCATACTTGCGAGCCTGCATGGACTCCGCTGTGCAGATTTGAAACTGCGCATCCTGCTGAATGACCTCCAGGTTTACACGAACCTCATCCGCTTCAAGATCCTGCTCAGCAAGCTTCCCTTTCCGTAGAATACTGAGAGCCTCTTCAACCGGTTGGTGGATGTCGTGGAGAAGTCCGAGACTTTTTTGATATTCACCTTTTTCAAGCAGACAGACTGATTCTTTAAAGAGAACATCAGCAATGTGATACCTGGCCAATGCAGAGAGCGCCTCACCATCGGGCAACAGCTTCAGTACCTGGTACATCTCTTTAAGCTTCTTCTTAGGGTCATCAAACGTACCGATAATCTCCAAGATCTCAAAGTAAGAAGCCTTGATCTCCTCTTGCAGCTTGGTCCTCCAGGTGTCACCCAGCAGAGAAGCACCTCGGACCAAAGCCTGGCCGAGGTATTTCAGAGCCTCTCGGAATGTTATGAGAGTCTTCGCATATCCTGTGTCCTGTTTGTCTTTCATGTACTCTTGGGCCATCCTCTTTGTAGCCATTCCGAGATTCTTGGTTGCCGAAGACCACTCGCTCGCCATTCTTGGTCCAGTGGCCTCCGATGCGGCCCTGGCATATAGATTAATTGCTGACTGAAGTCTAGAACACTTGAGGACAGGAGACAAGCCCTCTACAAGTGCCGCCTTGTATTTTACATTGCCTGCTTTCCTTAATTCCTCCGACATCATGAATGCTTTAATTTTCTGTTGATAATTGAGGAACATAACAGTGATGTAGTGCCTTGATGCTGGGCCTTGGCCTTAAAGCTGCCTTAAGGCTGGATTTTAGGGCCTTGGCCTTGGCCTCGAGGCTTGAGGGCAAAAGCCTTGGCCTTGGCCTTGGCCTTGAGGGTTCAGGGCCTTGCAATTTTGAGTCAAGGCTCTTCAAGGCCCATAGATATGGCATTTTCCAGATAAATCTGTTCGAAATTTTGCTGTTACCATTTTAATTGTATAACCATGGAGGAGGGAAGCACCCTATAGATTTGCGTGTTGGGCACACTTCCACTTTTGTAGCATCCCATTTTGTTACCATTGTAGTAGATTTGCTGCAAAAATATTCCGTACACTTGTGGGGCTAATGAGATGATCACTTTAATTGCATATAACTATGGAATAGATCTGATTGGTTGTATATGTCTCCCTGATAAGTGCTAAAGATTTACATGTATCTGTTTTAGATAATGCTGATATTTCTGACCATGTTGGGCCAGCAAATAAAAATTTCCCAAATCAGTTTCTTGGATCCCCCTTTTGTTACACTTGGGAGAATTGTGTGTCAATATAGAAGTAAATCATTATTGAATTTAGTTAAACCATATTAAAGACCTGAACTTATACTTTAATAGATACAGTGCAGTCATAAAACGGTGTAGGCCTATGCGAGCATGTTGATTGCAATTAAAAAATGTTGTTCTTCGTAACGAGCACTTCGTGACGATAAGGGCGGATCCAGGGGGCCAAAAGGGGCCATGCCCCCCCCCCCCCAAAAAAAAAAAACATATTTTTTTTATGTGTCGTCGTACTAAAGGCAGGCAATGAGTACACCACCATGTTTTCCTCAAAAAACATCGGTTAAAATGGTCAGAAATTGCCTTAAATCGCACCACAGAGCATCTCGAATCCAAACATTTTCGGGGCCCTTAAGCGGGCCCCGAAGCCCAAGCCGTAATTTTTTGACCCACTTTTTTGTGGGGGACCAAAATTTCTTTGTCCCCCCCCCCCAAAAAAAATTGTGTTCTGGATCCGCCCTTGCGTGATGATGTGTCACTCATGTGACTATAATTAGTTCTATATCAGTGGTCATTTCAACAGGGCATTGGCCTTGGCCTTGGCCTTGAGGGTTAAGCCTTGGCCTTGGCCTCGAGGCTTGAGGGTCAAAGCCTTGGCCTTGGCCTTGGCCTTGAGGGTCAAAACCTTTGCTCCAACACTGGAACATAATTACAGATATCATTACATCTTTAAAGCACCTCTGGGAAGATGGTCAAGATCAAGTACCTACACACAATTAACTCACCGTCATCGTTTTCTCCTCCCCCTCCCCCAGGCGCGGTTCTACGGGGGGGGGGGCAAAAAAAATTTGTCTAGCCCCCCCCCCCAAAAAAAAAGTCTTAAAAAAAATTGCATTAGCAAAAAAGAAGGATTGTGATGTACATGCGCACGGTCTCCCCCTTAACTAAGAAATAGCCGTGACAAGGGTGCATTAGTTAATATAGTGTGAATGATTTTAGGATTTTATTGGCGCTCCCCATTGAAAATATGGCATGGCCCCCCCCCCCCCCCTCCCCCACCACCTATTGATTTTCGGAGGCCTAAGTGTCTGAAAAAAATAACCGGTCAACATTTCAGCACGCCTCCCTGAAAAAATTCTGGATCCACCGTGCTAGCCCCCCCCAAAAAATATTGGTTCTAGAACCGCGCCTGCCCTCCCCCTCCCTCACCCCCGGTTACATGTTTGGTCATTGTATACTGAGGGAAAAATACTCAAGAAACCCAACTCTGGGCATTGCCTTTTTAGATCCTTATGGCAGTCTTCCGATGACATAAACCTGCGGGGTTACGATGGATTCACGCAAACATAATTAAGGTGCTGTTATACGTGCCAGAAATTTTGTATCCCTTGCAAATCACTTTAAATGAAAAAGAAAATTAAGTCACGCTACATTGCTAGAAAAAAATAAAATCTCAGATGCTATAAGCCCGGGCCCGTAGCAGCCTACTGCATGACTGTTTGGATATCTTTTTATATAAACGTTTTATTTTGCAAAATTGTATTTTCTGCTTTGCATAATATTTGGACAAAGGTCCTCATAATGTAAATTTCTCCCTGATACTAGCACAACATTCGCATTGGGGCCAACCAAAACACTAACCTTCGATTTCCGCAGCAAGGTAAACGATAACACACAGAGCGAGGTTCCTCTCTGAAACTAACGTTAGTGGAGTTGATGACGAGTTGTGTCCTACACAAAAAAAACAGTCGGAAATCAGAAATGTTTAAACAAAACTGCAGCGGATGTGTTTCCGACGCGACCGAACATGTATACTATACAACACAATATCCGGGAATTTCACTATACATGAAACGGAAATACCCGTTTTATAGCTGCCTGCAAAGGTCACGGCTTGCTGGCTGAATAATAATCACAAAGAATCCGTGTCACAAGGGGGTGCTTTTTTATTTTATTGAATATTAATCAGCATTTCACGACAGTTGGTACAGCCTATTGAATATGTCAACTGTTATTGATTTTTGGGGTGTGGTATTCCGAATATTCATAGCGGGGAAATTTGGAAGAGTTTGTGAGGTTTGATTTTACTAACATTTGAAGGGCTGTTTTTGTTTCGCTCTTGGGGCGTTTAGGCTGGAAGAGTTATGTGTTGTTACTTGTTAGTTCATGTCAGAGACTGCAGGAGCTCAGATCGGTGGTGCGATAGCAGCTTGAGTAACTCCAGCTTAACAAGCTCATCAGGAATTCACATGTAACGCTTGGGGACAGATGTACGTTGTAAAAGTGAGATCGTAATGTGGTGGTCTACCCCTACTGTTACATGTATTCTAGGGTTGGGGTCCGTCCATATACTTAAACATGGATGAATCTGGAGTCTGACACCAATCAGTCACTTCTCATTGTTTATTATGAATCTGATACTATAGGTCATAATTATAAAACACCAAAAACAAACCCTGAAACGAAAAATAAGTAGTGCCAATTTACTACATAAATATACACAAAGCTTGATAATCATAATCATATGTGGGTTCTAGACATCAACACAGTGTAAGTTGTCTTCGGTAGAATAATAAATATATGAAAACCTTACCCCAGGGTCAGTCAAGCCTTAATGTTTATTGACGACTCATGTACATGGAGTGGTGACTGTACATTTTCCTGGAGCTTTAATCGCCAAAAATGCCACTATTCCGTCCCATTTCAGGATGCATGGTTGTGACTCCTGAGTTCCTGACATTGGTGTATTCTCATGCATCCGAATTTCTCGTCGTCCACTCAACGCAAAAATTCTCATTCAGGGAAAGTCCCTCCGCACCGTGCAATAGCGGTGTCATAGAGAAAAATCCCTCACGACAAACACACCATACACAACGTTACGGCGGTGGCCTATCATACCGCCGTCTCCCACAGTAAGAGACCCTTAAAAAACGGCCTCCACGAAATGGTCCTTTTTCCCTCCACAAAATTGTCCTTTTTCCCTCTATCCCAACCCAGATTCCATTAAACATACCTCAGAGTCATACCATGCACTCAGTCATTCACAATACTAATGATCGACTTCAAACAGAACAAAAGTTACTAAAGTATGAACAAATGATGATTTCGGTGGCTCTGCTTCAGAAAAATCGTCCAGTGCTGCACTGTCATGGCCGGCTGTGGTGGTTATAGTGTGCCTCAGCTGATCAGCCAATCAGATTAATCCTTGATTATTCATGCTGAGTAGGACATCCAACAGCCGTCGGGTCAGTAGTACATTCTGCATGTACACAGTAAAGTAAATTGGCCATGACCCGACGGCAGTTGGATGTCCTACTCAGCATGAATAATCAAGGATTAATCTGATTGGCTGATCGGCTCAAGCACGCAATAACCACACCACAGCCGGCCATGACAGTGCAGCACTGGACGATTTTTCTGAAGCACAACGACCGAAATCATCATTATTTTTCATATTTTAGTAACTTTTGTTCTGTTTGAAGTCGATCATTAGCTTCGTGAATGACTGAGTGCATGTTATGAGGTATGTTTAATGGAATCTGGGTTGGGATAGAGGGGAAAAGGGCCATTTTGTGGATGGAAAAAGGACCATTTCGTGGAGGCTGTTTTTAAGGGTCTCTTACGATCTCATTTTTACAACGTACATCAGTCTCCAGCGTTACATGTGAATTCCTGATGAGCTTGTTCAGCTGGAGTTACTCAAGCTATAGACCGTGGGCCAGAAATCGTAGCGTGCAGAATCGTTCGGAGTTTTTGGTGGCAACTTTTTTTCTTTCCTAATGGACTCCTTTTGTGACACTGATTAATATTTTTGATGTTGCCGGCAGAAAACCCGGCACACTAATGTGAAAATCAAGGTAGAAAATTGCCACTTTCCCGTCGCGTCGGCGATGTTTTTTTGAACGCCGATTGAGGGCGGTATGCTGCAACCTCGAATCGGCGCTTCGTAGGTGATTTAGAAAATCGCGTTAATTTTCCCGGGGACGAGGACGTCAGGAAGAACATGGCGGCGCCCGTCTTCAGACTGCGCAATAGTCGTAGCCTTGTTGCCATTTTGTGATTGGACAATGAACGACGTTCATTTGATGGCGTCTTCGTACCTCCAGCCAGTGCAAGTAGCTGCAAGCGGGGTCGCAAGTAGTGGTGCTTACCGTACGCACCTGGGATCCGTCCGCACTCGATCAGTATACAATACGTTCAGAATCATTTTAGTGACGGTCAGTTCATAAATGAACATCATGTAAAGAAAATAAATTCTGATATTTTCCAAATGATCTATGATTACATCGTGAGATCGTTTAGACACCCCCCCCCCCCCATAAATGCATGAAAGCATGGAGGAAAGTGTGACGGAATTGGAGTGTTAAGTAATTCTTCCGGTCGCATTATCAGTCCTTTTTAGATTATAAGGGAGGTATTTTTTTAATTAAAACAATTATTGAAGAGAAAAGCAGG